CCTTATGCAGTTTGATTTACGCGCATAGATCTAGATCTAAGTCTAGTAGTAGTAACTTTCAAATTAAATTTTTTCTTAAATTAGCCAAACAAAGATTTATATAAAATAATTAAGGCCTGAAATAGATTATAGATAAATTAAGGCCTGAAATAGATTCTAGATGTAGAATTTACATTAAGTCTAGATCTAGAATTTACATTGAGTCTAGTGACCTAGATCTAGGCTAGATCTAGATCTAGGCTAGATTCATAACTTTCCTTCGACAGCTGATCTTTAGATCTAGAGAAATTTATTGTAAAACTAAATGAAAAAAGACAGTTGAAAATTGATATAAGTGTTGGAACGTAATAAATACAGCAAACGGACGTATTGTTAAAGTTATGACCGACAGAAAATTAGATTTAGAACGCGTTAAACTTTTGAATGAGAACACAATTTTCTTCGATAGACGCCGCCATTTTATTGTAGTAAAGAGTAAACAAAAAAATGTGACGTCACGGTCACGCCGAGTGTAGTGGTCGCTCTAAACTTTTTAAAAAAAATAGGGTTACTCTACCTATGAATAAATCAATAAATTAATTAACGTCTTCAAATAAATGTGTGATTAACAGTCTGTCTTAAAACAAAAATTATTCTCTATCTACATACTATTTTACAGCTCTCCAGATAGAGTAGAACATATCACAATAGTCAATCAGCCAAACAAAAAAACAAACAAATAAATATTCAAACATGTAAACAAACTTGAGTTTTAGTAGTATTATATATATATATATATATATATATATATATATATATATATATATATATATATATATATATATATATATATATATATATATATATATATATATATATATATATATATATATATATATATATATATATATATATATATATATATATATTAGCCGTCGGTACCCGTTACACGTGAATTATAGGCCTAGATCTATATATTTTTCATGTTATACATATTTGGAAATGATAAGTTAAATAAACCGGGAGTGATCTCCCCTAAACTTTCTTGAATATTCTTATACGAGAAAAATGGCCCGTTGAGGAAGGATACACCGGGCGCTAGGTTGATAGTGCTGTCTCTTTTCTCTAAACTAAAACCAACCCATCCCCCACACACACCTACCCCCAACCCCACCCCCCACCCCACACACCCCACACACCCACCCCCACCCCAGCCCCACCCACCCACCCCCACCCCCACCCCCCAAAAAAACATGTCTACCGTCCCATTCAACGAAATATAATTATATACTTTTTCCAGTGTCCGCCCCCTCCCCGAAAATTCTACCCCCGCCCCCGAAAATTTCAAGTACCCCCCACCCCTCTCCGGGGAGGAAAAAGTCTGAAAGAAACACTGGTGTTGCGCTTAGCCACTACGCGAAGAATTGCATTAAAGAAATTGCGAGAAAACCACTTTTTAGATTAGACACATTAATTAGGCGGTAATTTTATTATAGAGTATCGATGAGGAAACCACCCCACCCCACCCACACCACCCCCACCCCCCACCCCCACCCCCCACCCCCACCCCCCACTCCCAAAAAAAACATGTCTACCGTCAAAGTTCAACGAAATATAATTATATACTTTTTCCAGTGTCCGCCCCCCTCCCCGAAAATTCTACCCCCGCCCCCGAAAATGTCAATTACCCCCACCCCTCTCCGGTGAGGAAAAAGTCTGAAAGAAACACTGGTGTCGCGCTTAGCCACTACCCGAAGAATTGCATTAAAGAAATTGCAAGAAAACCACTTTTTAGATTAGACACATTAATTAGGGGGTAATTTTATTATAGAGTATCGATGAAGAAATTTCTTTTGAGTTGGGGAGGGGGGGGGGCTCAGACGTTCTTACGCGGGGGGTGGGGCTTCGCCCTTACCCGAAGAATTATATGCAAGAAACTCTTCACGCAAACCATTTAGATTAGACAAAATTTCCTTTTTTTCAATGTTTACGCGAGAATCAATGACGTCATATTACTGTGTGCACTCTCTGGTTTGAGATTATGTTCTACTCTATGCTAAATGTGTCGACGTCATACTTCGTTTTTCGAATTACTGTGCATGTTTTTATTTTGCTTGTGTTTTCTCTAGAGCGTTCTTGTCAGACAGAGCGTTCTTGTCAGACAGAGCGTTCTTGTCAGATAGACAGACAGCGAAACTATTAGTATTAATAAAACAACAGGGGATGGGAACTCGGGATATAGTTATGATTTTTAATCCATTTTAAATACATAAACTTTTTAAAATAAAATAGAATCTCATAGAAAAAAGTATTGCACACCAAGTGAACGCCAAATAAAGATATTCATAATGGTGCGCAATATTATTAGTACTTTATAAATTTACATGCGTTTTTGAGAAATCGGAAATAGCGTAAATTAGTACTTTCCGTCAACGGAAATTACTCAAAATTTAACAGAAGGTAGAGAATTAGATCGTTTACTTACATGTGAAATTTCATTTATCTATCTGAATTAGTACTCAAGTTATAGGCTTTTGAAAAATTCAAAGTACAAAAAGTACCACTTCCGGTTATCGGAAATCGCTCAAAAGTTGATACGGATCTACGATTTTGATAAAATACTTATATATGAAATTTCATCAACCTAGCTGTAACGGTACTCAAGTAATCGTGTTTACACACACACAGACACACACACAGACACACACACAGACACACACACAGACACACAGACATACGGACAAGATTGCAAAATCATGTTTTTCCGTATCAGTGAGGTGTAAAACGTCGAGATTTGTAAAAATCTCGATTTTTTTTTCACGATTACAATACTTTCTCTATACTACGTATATACGAGAAAGTAAAAATCGTTATTGATCAAAATGCAACACTACTCGTTGAGATATTAGTTACAAAACAAATCAAAGAAATAACTAAATAGTTAAAAATCCGGCACATTTAAATAAACAAAGGCTACCAAAATCCTAATCCTAATATAAGTTTTGGCCGAAAAAATCGTATTGTATACATTTCATAGCGTAAGTAGCTCTAAATCATATTTGAATGAAATAGTTTATTTCTTTATTTTATTCTAAAATCGGAAGATGGCGTCTTTAGTTTCGTGCTCTTTTAGTCTAAACAATAAGTGACGTCATTGTTAAATGCGTTCTTGTCCAACTATAAACACTTTTCCGGTTGCATAATTAAAATTGTTTTTCTACAGTCGAATACGCCTTTATTTTTTATTTTTCTTCTTTAAATAAAACTGTGGTTATACATTTAAAACATCTAACATATTTTTTTCAGCAAAAGTCCGTATCAAGTTCTCCATACATCGCTGAAGATTCTGATGTGATATCCTGCGAAAATATTTTGCGTACAGAGAGAGAGATAGAGAGAAGTGCGCACATGGTCTTTTATATATTAATATGTATATATATATATATATATATATATATATATATATATATATATATATATATATATATATATATATATATATATATAAGTAAGTATATACGCATGTGTATATGTATTCACATATTTTTTAAATGTATTTTATTTGTTTTACCACCCCCCCCCCCCCATACATGGATTAACACATAAGTTATTACGATTTTCAGCCAATGTTAAGTGGAATTAGCATTTTTCTCCCCCGCTTATATATATATATATATATATATATATGTATATATAATTATATATATAAGCGGGCGGTGTAAGCGTGTATGTGTATGTGTAAGCTTGTGTGCGATAGTCCGGGAAAGGTTTAATAACTACGGTGTATGATTTTCGTTCCTTAATACTTTACTCGACGCCAATTAAATACCCCTTAAGATGCGTTTTCCTTTTAAAAATGATTAGTAATGTCAGAAAAAAAAATATGCCTGATCTGAGTTAGAGGGTGGATTGTTGCAAGCGCTAATTTGTTTAGACCATCCTTTTATGTTCTATTTTTGGAACAATCTCTATTGTGATATGGTACATCGTTGGAATACAAGTTAGTTAGAATAAGGGCATACAAGTCACATACACACAAGAGTAACTTATCAGAAGCATATATTGTACGCATTGATGTACGACATGGGTATTTAGTTGACTGGTTGATGGTATAATGAAACAAGCTAGAGGAAACAAACTGGAATCCAACGGATCTTAACAGCTCTAAGTCTTACATTTAGCAGATGTTCGCTGCCTTCTCGCACATAGTCAACAACAAATGTAGAACTAATTGTACTGATTGAAGAAGCAGTAATAACCAGTTTAATGATAGTGGCATCGCCCATGATGTTCTGGTTAGAATCGCGTTTTAACAATCTAAGCCAATGTGGAATTAAAATGTATTGTCAAAAAAAAATCTATAGCTAAATGTGAAGTCTCTTTTACTGGATGGCTCGGAGCTAGGTTAGAGACAGTGGAGAGTAAAATAAGATTTTTGTCCCTGCTGGAATAATTTTCTGTTGACTCAAGGTTTGCCCCTCCAAATTTAGTCATATACATTTTTTCTTTTACCTTAAAGCTTTATTCCAGTCAGGGTAACATTCAAAGTATGTTCTCTTTTATCAACAGGTCTTTAGTGAAAATGTTTTTTGGAATATTGTTTTTAAACCTCACATTTTTACAGCACAGGCCTAATCATGAAGAAAGGTTAAAAAAAAAACTTCCCTTTTTGAAACTGTCAGCCTATGGGGCAAGTGAAGTAGAGTTCAACCGTTTCATTGATCTTGACGTATGAAGGGATAATGTGGTCAGCACTATGCCCAGCCGCCTTTACTTTCTCTAACACCCATCAGCGCTAGGTGAACTCAGGGACGTTCTACTGACTTAAGCCCAGATTCAAACTTGAGACTTTTAGATTAACAATCTAGCGTTCTACCGCTAGGCCTTGCCATGAAAAAAAGCATTTAGTGAATATAAGATCTTATAATTAATTTATTTCACTTAATTGTTCATCTAAACATTTAGATTTACCAGACATCCATTCATTTTCAACATTCCAACAAACATATCAAAACAGAATGTTTAGAAAAGCTGCCATTGTTTTTTTACTGTTTTTAAAATCCCATTCACTAAAAACAAAAACTGAATCATTCACCAATAAACACTCAGCTACAAATAAAACAAAGCATGATACAGTACATGAAACAAATGTACAATAAAATGGTACATGTGTTTGAGAATTAAAATAAGAATGTTTACATGAACTTGTTGTAAAATGATACAGGGATGAAATGAAATGTGTGAGTACTTGCGCAACATTGAACATAAGCAGCACCCTGAGTAACCACTCAAAAGTAAATCCCCTGCTATCTAGCACCTATAAAACTAGGAATCTCTTTAAAAAAAATAATAAAAATGATTATTTAACCTATTGCTACAGTTGTAGTCTTTTTGTTTTGTATAAAAAAATTCTTTTAGTTTAAAACTAAAATTATGTACCATGGGTAGATGAAGTAGTGTTCATCTATTTCTTACAGAAGCATGTGAAAGATTTTGTGTCCATAAAATGCTCAGCCACTTTGAAGTTCTTGGGACTAGGTTAGGTACCTTATAGGGGCTGAAGGCTTACTCAGACACAATAAAACTAAAAAAGTTTTAATTTTCAGGCTCTCCACTCTGCACTTTCAGTAAAATAAATTTAAAAACATGATTCCTTTATTAGCATGGCATAACATAGTCATTCAATAAAATTAAAAAAACTGAATAGCCACAAAGAGAGTATTCCAGCGCCATCTTCTATTAATACGACATATCACAATCCCCTCCTAATGTTGTTTTTAACTAAGCTGTCTCATAATAATTTATGCGCAAACCTATAAACAGGACTGCAATTAAAAACTAGGTAGAAATAAATAATAACAATTTGAAATTTCTAGCTTGTACCTCATAACTGACTTGATTTCTGATTTTCAATAATTTGGTCTAGTTTCTTAACAATGTCTTGCAAAAGTGTCATTTTCTTCTTCTCAATTTCCAACATTTCTTCTTTTATGGCTAAATCCCGGTCGACTTTACTAAACTTATCCTCTGAATCTGTATCTTCATTCTGCAGTGAGATCTTTCTCTTCCTTCCCCTAGTTTCCTCTTTGACTTTGTTCGGAAACTTTTTGGAAGAGACAGGAGTAGGGGTAGCTTGTGTTTCTAACTCTTCAATATCATCAGGGGACACAATACTAACAACATTGTTTTTAAAGGTATGAAGCACCTTTTCTCCATTTTCTAGAGCGTCTCTAAAACGACTGGGTTCCCTACGGTTCCTCTTGGGTCTACCATGGGTGACTGAAGGCTTCACTTTTACAGTGGGTTTCTAGGAGAGAAGAAAATAGAATTGTTTACTAACCAAAGTAGTGAAAGTTTATAATAACTCAATATTCAATCATAGCTGTGCAGCTGTACAAATTCTTTTCAACAGTGCAATGAAAGTTATATGATACCAGTACATAATGTGTCTGACTGCTTAAAAAAAAAGCCTTGAAAAATATTTGCTTAGCTTTGGGTGTGAATATGGCACTGATTTCTTAATGAGACAAACACATTAACACATTTTTAGCTTTAAGGTCAATGCATTTCATTGTAATGATAAACACTTTATTGAATTTTACAAACTGCAGTGCTTCACAAATTACAAAAACTACATCAAGATTTCTAATTCGTAATCATAACGAACATAATGTATACAAAAAAAAATTTATTTAAGGAAATGAAAAACGTGAAAATACAATCTGTTTTTGTACCTTTTTACTGGGTTTTCTATCTTCAACTTCTGAATCTTCATGGCTATCACCATCTCTATTATCTGTCCTGTCTTCTGATATATCATGTTCCATTTCTTCATTTTCTTCTGTTGAATCTTTGCGACTTCGAGATTTCTTTTCTCCTAATCTAAGAAGAGAAATAAGAAAAATAAGTTTAAATCACAAACTATATTGGTTATTATAATTATTTTAGTAATAATATAAAAAATGAAGACAAGTTCAAAGAACAGTTATTACAGAAAAAATCTAAATACAAATATTGTTTATTAAATTGGTACTTAAAACTATATTAGAAAAAGTTAGTAAAATTAATTAAAGTCTGGGAAGAATTATGGCTAAAATAAAGAAGACTATTTAAGGTGTTGAATTCTACGCTTGTGTAATTCACAAAGAGTAGTGAGGAGAAATGAAATCGGTATAGGCCTCCACATTTTACACACACATATTACATGTTTTAACCTTTTAGTATATCAGATATTCACACATAGTAGCACACAATAATACTTACTCATTTTTATTTTCAAGCTTTTTGGCCACTCGCTTTTCTATGTTTAAAATATCTTTAACTGATATGGATCTTCCTGTCTCTTTGGTCAACTTATCTCTAATTAACATTCTGGCCAATCGTTTGTCTTCATGCATACTAATTAAATTGTAAATTTCAAGTTCAGTTTCCTCATCTAACTGCTTCTGTCTTGACAAAGACTTGTACTGCTCCTGAATTTTAAATGAAACAAAATGCTAATTTTTAAAATTTTCAACTTAGTTAATCCTATCAGCAGAATATTTTTGACATCAGGTTTAAAAACAGGTTTTACAGACTGAAGTTCTAATAAAATTAATGTCCAACAGATAAACTAATGATTTCTTAAAACAAAATAATTTTGAGGTACTCACAAACCAATGAATTTTGTTTGGTTAAATTGTTGCTTGCCTTAGTAACAATTTAACCAAGTAAAAATAATTTAAATCGGTGAATCCAGTACATTTGGATAATTTTACAGGGCTGCCATTAGTAAAGTAAAGTAAGTAAAGTTCCCTTTCAAACTTGATGGTTTATGGGGCAAGTGAAGTAGAGTTCACTTGTTCTGTGACCTCTGCATAGGAAGAGATAGTGTGGTCAGCACTATGCCCAGCCGCCTTTACTTTCTCTAACGTGAGTTAGGGTCCCATCAGAGCTGGGTGGACTCAGGGACAGTCTACTGACTTGAACCCGAATTCGAACTCGAGACCTACGGGTTAGCAGTCCAGCTCTCTACTGCTAGGCCACTCCGTCCCATACTGCCATTCGTACAAAATAGTAAATATAATTAATTATTACATTGTTCCAATGTAGTAGGATTCTCTGCCTTAGTTTCCCTAAAGTGAGTCAGACAGCCATCAGAGCTGGGTGGAATCAGGGACATCCTATGGACTCAAGCCCTGGATCAGAACTCAAGGCTTACAGGTTAGCTGTCATAAGCTCTAACAGCTGACAACACTTAATTTACATTTATTGGATATCCCTTAGCACTGACAGCCTGATATACATTAGACTAGATCAGAAAAACTCTCCTAACACAGTTAGATCTGAAAGGGTAACTAATGTTTATTTCTTGCAATTAATGAGAAATATAAAATGATCTAAGAAGCTACATGCTAACCTCTGAAACTTCATGATTGTGACCCTCCAACACACTTTCTTTTATGACCAGTCGCTGACCATCTGGAGTTGCTGACAGCCGAATATGTACAGGGCAATCTATTTTTCTAGAGCTAAATAAAAAGAGTAGGTCTATCATTATTTTTGTTTTTAACCTTGTTTTGTTACCTTAACATTGGAAGCCCATTTGAAAATCTGTTTTTGTTATGGTAATTTAAAATTTTGGGCAAGGATATGTGCTGACTAACTGGTACAATAAATAAAAATTAAATGATAATAATTAGGCATATTAATTGTAGGCCTATTAATAAATACTCAGTATAAAAAGGCTTACAACTTGTAGGCTATTTATGATCAGGGCCTATTTGTGAAATTTTCAATTTTTCTTTCAATTAAATTATAAAAATATAATTGTAAATCTAATTTTTTTTTAAATACTTTCCAGTCTTAATGAGTAGACCTATAGATGTAGCCTAGATCATCTAGGTCTATACTTGTAAAAAAAAACAGTACAGTACTGGGTCAGATAATAATCCTAGATCTAGCAGCAATCTAGCTAAATCAAACTGCCCATTAGTAAATAGTTTTTACAGCTATGTAACATGCGTGATAGTAGGTCTAAGTCTATATTATTAATCCTATATGAACTTAAAAAACTTTCAATTTGCTTGAGGGGGGGGGGGGGGGGGGGGGGGGGTGGAAGAGAGAAGTGAAGACAGACAATCTCGTGAACTTGTGTTAATTATATGACGTATGTTTTAGGCCTGCTTGACTCACAGTGATTACGCCAACCGTAGAAATTTTATTTAAAAAAAAGTATAACACATCATGTTTTCAATATGAAAAAAAATAAAATGTAAAAAAGAAACCAGTATCTGTTGTGCTAACCCCGGGTTCGAACTCAGAGCTCCAGCTGGCACACTGTTGACTCAACCACACCGGATGTGTTGGAAAAGGAAAAAGTAAGTATTTTAATCACAAGATGGCAAATCCAACCTGCGAGACGCATAGTCACTTCGTTACAGGCCACGCTCTGTGAGACGTGTAGTCACTTCGTAAACAATTCAATATTGTCCACTTTTTCATATCGCCTATAGCAGTATTGATTGGGGCTATCCCCAGCATACTGTTGTTTGGTAGACCTACCTACATCCTACATTGAGACATCTGAATATTAAAATAGAATCTAAATGTCAAGAGAGCAAGATTTAAAAGAATTTTGAATTTTAAACATGACTTACGTTGCATTCCGGATCCCAATAGATCGTGAAACTGCCTTCTTAGGTCCAAATGTACAAGCATAATGAACTTGAGCAAATTTTATTTCAGGATTGTATGTTTTAGCGACAGAACTTTCTTGTGCTTTTTCAACTGTGCGTGAATCAACTCTGGAAAACTGAACGAAGTGTGTGTCTTCGTACTGCTCCATTGCAGCTTGAAAAGCATCGAAGGATTCAAACTCGATGCCAACCTCCATAAATTGTGCCATTGTACTTGTAGGGAATTATAATTAGATCTATACTGTTAAAAAATATAATAGGTTTAGGTATAGATCTAGATCTAGTCGGTCTAGATCTAGATCTACTAGACTAGACTAGACTACAAGTTACTTAGAGAAAGTAAACAGAAAACGTACCAAGAAAAAAAAGGAAACCGATCTTCTGTTTTTAAAAACTAGGAAAACTTTACCAGTGGATCCCAAAAATTCTTTATCCAGTGGTCCTAGGCATTAATTAAAAATACCATATTAATAAGTTGACATTATATATAATATATAATATATGGCTAATGGATATCCGCTTTTTGTCGATCCTCATATATCAATCACAAGAGGGATCATGTTCATCGACCACAAAAAAGGGTTAGCAGCAGCTAAAGACACATTCTCTAAAGACACGGATGGGGGAGGGCATGCAATGCCGAAGTAGACTAATTTTGATTGAACTTAAATATTTTGGCATCAACATTGGTGATGGATATATAGTCCATGTTATTTTTTCACACAAATTTTATGTTGTATAATAAATAATATTTAAAACGGGCATGAGTTTTCTTAGAAATAAATTATGTGAAAATATTTCGCGGAGAAAAGCTGAATGTTCGGCTGAGTGGCTGTTTTTCGACGTTTTATAGTAATTTATAGTTATATAGACCGTCGATTCAGTAAGGTTCAGAGCAGGAGTATAACAGCACAACAAAGTTTGAGGGGGGGGGGGGGGGGTGCAAATCGAAAGTTTGTCCCCGGGCGCCGGGAAGGGTCGCTACGCCTCTGGTATTGGTATCACAAGTACACAGACACTGTTTCATTCAGTTATCTCTTCAGAAGCACGCCTACACCCCCCCCCCCTGAAACGATATAGTTTATAGTGTCCCCCTCCCCGTCCTGCCCGGAACATTTAGTTCACCCCCCTCCCCATTCCGAAAGTTTCAAGTGCTCTCCCATCCGGAGAAAAAAGTCGGAAACACTGCGCACAGAAATAAGATAAATGAAACAAGATATGAATTTAAGTCCATGAATTCTAATTTATTTAATTCAATTTATTCAGGGCCTCAAATATTAAAATAAAACACGATCAAAAGAAACTGTTTAAGAAAAATGAATGCTAGATAAAATAAATTAAAAAAAAAAAACATCCTAATATTAATTTAAAATATGTATTTTATTTTATTAAATGTGTAACTCAAAACCCAAAACTCTAGTTGCCATAACAAACACGCAGCTTTCATACATATGAAAAGACACCCCCTCATCGTGTTGGGCAAACTTCAAGTCGACGTCCTCCACACACAAGTTCTGCTTGACCAAATTCGGCAACGGCAGCTGCTGGACTTTAGACCTCCTCCCTGGCATGGCTCCCAGATTTCGGCAGATCTCCTGACGTGATAGCGAGAACAAGGATCGGGGCTGAGACAATAACTCTCGGAAGTGCTGCGCCTTGTTCAGTTCGGGATCTGAGCTAGGGGGTGTTGCTGGGACCTCGTTGAAGATTCGACGTTTGACGCTTTGGTACTCTGGTAAGTTCTTGACCTTGTCTTCAGCCAAATCAATGATTGTGTCAAGGACATCGGGCCGGGCAAGGCGCAGGAAATGCCTGCCAATCATCACATCATATCTGAGAAGAAAATGTACACTTTTTTAAAATTAGAAAACCTGTAAATTAAAGTTGACAAGAATTCTATCATCTATCTATCTATATTTATAAAAAGCAATGTATGTGTGTGTCTGTACGTCTGCTTGTTTGTCTTTTATGCATTACTACACCTCTCATCACATCTCCGTGAAACTTTGGGAAGTTGTTGAGAATATTCCTGGCGAGGCTTCTGCGAGAATAAAATTTTCAAATTCGCAGTGATGGCGCCCCGGCAGGGTGCGATTTGTTTTTACTCCATATACGGTATATAAAAATGTAAGTCGATTGCGGTTTCACACCGTTCATCCGATCGCCATCAAACTTTGGGGAGTAAATTAGAACACTCCAGGGGCGGCGCCACGCGAGGGTGCGATTTTTCTCTATATACGGTATATAAAAATATTAAAAGTGAATTGCACGATCGCCATGAAACTTTGGGAAGATGTTGAGAATACTCGTGGGGAGGTTTCTGCGCAAAAAACAATTTCAAATTCGCAATGGTGGCGCCCCGGCAGGGCGCGATTTGTTTTTTCTTTACATACGGTATATAAAAATAAAAGTCGATTGCGGTTTCACACCGTTGATCCGATAGTATAGCCATCAAACTTTGGGGAGTTGATTAGGACAGTCCATGTGATGTTTTTGTAAAAAAATCTTGTTTAAGTTCGCAAGGGCGGCGCCACGAGAGGGTGCGATTTCTCTATATACGGTATATTAAAAAATATGAAAGTTCCCAGATGCGGTTCGACACCTTTCATCCGAGTCGATGAGAATACTCCCGGGAAGGTTTCTGTTAACAAAATAATTAAAATTTGATAGGATGGTGCGATTTTCGTCAGTACACAATTTAGCGCCCAAAGTTTCAGAGCGGCAATGTTAACACATGGCATCCGTCAATCGTTCGTCCTGCATAGCGGGTAAGGGGTACTACTATATTCACTATATAATCTATATACTTCAATAGGCGCAACCGCCGGCGCCCCGTAGATTGCACGACCCCAAGCGCCAAGGGTTTCCCTGCGAGCCGTATGGTGCCTCTTCGGTAGTGTAATCGGGGGATCTCGAGAGCGCCCTCAACGTCCCTGACACATGGGCGGTCACCTGTGTGTTCTACCTCATTATTTCGGTGAGTGATTAACGTACACTCAAGGTTTTTATGCGACGGTGTAGGCAAACCAGTGTCCCGATGTTTACATTTAAATAAATCAGTTTTAGAAAACAAGGTCACGTGTCAAAGAAACATAGGATTGGTAAAGCATTCATGAAACCCTACTTATATATTCCGTCAGACTTTCTTCTATCTCCACGGCAACGCGCGGGGACGGGTACGCTAGTATTTTTAAAACCAGATAGGGCATTGGAAATTTAGGGTATACGGTTTAAGTGTGAACTTTAAATAGAAGTTAATTTTGTGTTTGAATTCAATATATAGCCTATTGAACTTAATTGCTACTAGGCGAATCAGGTAAAAAAAGAAAGGAAAATCTATTTTAAAGTTGGGGGGTCGTCCACAAATGACGTCACACTCGTAGATTGGGGGGGGGGGGGGGGTCAGGTAGTGTGTTGTTGTTTCGCATATTTTAGTGAACGGTTTAAATACATTGTAATAAAAATTGATTTTTAAGTTTACCGAACCGAATCCATATTTTAGAAAATCAATTTTTAAAATAATTTAACAGCGGTTGAAGGAGGGGGGGGGGGGGTGTAGGCTGAGGTGTGACATTTTAGTGGAGAGGGTCAGGCTTTTTGTAATAATGGGAGACGGAGGGGGGGGGGTAAAAATCGTCCAAAAAAAGCGTGACGTTTATGGATAAACCTGTAAATAACTTGTTTAAAATAAGCCGATTACGATAGATGACCGTGATACTGTATTAAAATATCAATCCGAAAGACTCACCTTTCAAACTCGTCCATAGCTCCGTACTCTATGAAAAGCCGGGCAGCGTCCGGGCAAGTTGCTAGTGCAATCAATAAAGGCACACCGCATCTTCTATAGCCTGGACCATAAGGCCGAACGCCAGAGTCCAAATAGTGTTTGAGCATTTGCAGATTCCCGTTCATGATCGCCATGATAAGTCCGTAGTACTGAATCATCGGATCGTGTGAATACAGACTAAATATCTGCGTCGCTGGTTTCAAGGTTTGGGTCTCTTCACGCCTGGCCTTCTCTGATTTGAAATTGATCTTGCTGCAAAGATTTTTAAAAGCTAGCTATTTGTTTTGAATATATGGCGATTATAATACACAAGAGATATTCAAAAAGAGATACTCAATTGTTTCACGTTCAAAAGTTACAGGCAATGGCGTCACACGGCGGGGGTGCGGTCAACCTCGGGGGATACCATTTAGGGGGGGTGACACCACGGAGAAATATAATAAAATAACAGTATTGTATCCAGTCAAAATATTAAAATATCTAGGTGGGAGGGGTGAGACCTAGCTTAAAATGCAAAATTGTCAAAGGGTTGGGGTGTGACACCTTCAGGTGCCGCACCGGGTGAAACCCGCCCTAGTGACGCCGTTGTTTGCTGGTTATGTCAACAGTACGTTCATGTTGCTTTAAGTCTACCTGTTACACTCAGCTTTCCCATTTAATTTTGGAACCAGGTATAACACAAATACAAACAGAATCCACAAGGTGAAATTGCAACAGTCAAGTATTATTTCAAACAACTACGAGAGACACAGTGAACATTGAAACGAAGAACACTGCCGACATGCTAAGCTAAGTTGACACCACACAACACTTTCAAGGGGAGGCCACCCTCACACACACTTTATATTTATATAAACATCTACATCACACATACTGATTGATGTAACAACAATATTTATATTTTTTAAAATAATAAAATCGTATGCCACCCCTCCCTACCCATGGCAGTTAAAAGCTGCGTGTACTTTTTTGAAGAAACACAGAGGCGTAGCGACGGGGGGGGGGGGGATACATATGTCCCTGGGCGTCAACCCTAGGGGCGCCAAAATAAGCTCATTTAGCTGCTATTTTGAATTATAAATATTTTAAAAATATAGAGGGGGCCGCCAAATTGAAAGTTTATCCCCTGGCGCCGAGAGGGGGCGCTACGCCTCTGAAGAAACAATCATGACACATGAGATTTCACCGTGAAAACTACTCACATAATATATTTACTGTTTCATTATTTTAAAATAAAAAAAAATTAATATCTCACTCCTTAAGAAGTCTTAATGTTCTCAGCATTCTCCTGTTGCCTGGCAAGTCGACATAGAAGTCGTGTGTGACCATACCCCGTTCATTTCTGTTGGTGATGTGCATGTAGTGGCTGAGTATTTGATTCATGGCGCAGGCTGTTCATAGTACATTAAATACATTCTTGTTATTTATAACGTATACCGTTTTTAGATACTTTTTATAATTTTTAAAAATATAAATTCTTTTCATTGTTTTACAGAAAACATACAGAAAATGTAAACTTATTATAATAAAGCGTTGTAATGGCTATTTTTAAAACATGGCACGCACTCGCAAATCATAATGAAATATATAGTTTCTATTTATTACGAATTGAAAAACACCCGTGATTAAATAATTAATTTTTTATTATTATTACATTGATTTTGAATAGATTATTCTTTTTTTTACTTGACTTTTTTTTTTTCTTTTTTCGAGTGAATTATAATATAATTTAATAATCATAGATTTTGAAATAGTAAAATAAATGAAATTTAAAAAAAAAAGACAGATTCTTACCGACTGTAATTTAGACAGGTCTAAAAAGCTGGAAGTCGTAGATTTAGTGCTCTAGGAATCCTCGATCAGCAATACAGCCAAGGTCACGGGCTTGAATAAACTATTTTAATCAGCTTCTTGATATGTGCTTTTTATATGAGCCGATTTCTATGTCTTCGGTTGGTTGATTTTCATCATTTTCTAATGACGCCAACATTTAATGATTAAAACAACGTGGTTCTACCAAATATGGATGTCCATTATGCTCTTTACATGCGGACGCGCCGTGCGGCTGTCCATTACGGTCATTCTGTGCGGCCACTTAAAGCCCAATGTTGCTCAGGCGTGGCGATCATTGTCTGCTGTGAGACGCAACACGTAGCTTGTCTGACTCGCCGTTCCGGTTGATCGACTTCCTTATTTGTTGTTATTTTTTTTTTTATCTTGACAGGTGCTGATGAAAACAGCACACATGGTGATGTCGGCGTATTAGGTGTGTTGTTGTAAGTGATAAGTGACTTGAACTACTGATAAGAAAATTGAGCGAACACTTAAGATGGGCTTTTTGTTTCAATCGTGGGGTGGGAAAGGTCAACGGTCAATAGACGGCCGTCATTAGCTAGGGACAGCAGACTATTGACTATGTCTTTCGTCAACATGTGAGTGTTTTATATATATTTAACCATCCCCCCCCCCCCTCATCCAGAAAAAAATGTAATGTACATATTGATAAATTAGGACGTCACATAATTTATTTTAGTGCCCCCCCCCCGGATTACAACACCCCCTCCCCCCCCCCCCCCCCCCCCCCACTTCATTCTGATGAAATAGAGAAACCAAAAATAAAAACCTATATTATAGAAAATCTATACTTTATCCAGCCCCCCCCCCCCCCACTCTTCCCCATCCCGGAGATTTTAGGTGCGCGAAATCTGGTCGCAAATTACAATTTCAGATACTCCCATAGCCCAATGCCAGTGTAAACCTACATAGTAAACTTAGTATCCCTTTCTTTGTTGGTTCATTGGAGTTTTACGTCCGTTTTCAATCATAAATTATGCTTTGAATTCCTTCTTGCTTTTATAGCTTTTTTAAAGGAAATATAGGCTATTGAGGAGGGTTTATATTCTATTAGTGTTTCATTTTTTACTAGCTTATCTTTTATTTAGAGTGAACCATTATCTACGCATACTTATTTCAATATAAATAGTATCCGCATTGTTTCCGTAGTCTTTACTTGCGTTAAAAAAGTGTGTTCTCTTCTTTATTACAGCCTTTGTATTTGAATAGTCTGAAGAGCGTATATCTTTACATTATTTTCCCCCTAGAATTTGTGGTATTTATTTAATTAGTTGTCAGTGTTTCTTTCCAACATTTTTCTCCGGGGTGGGGGGGGGGGGAAGCATTTGACACTTTTGGGAGGGCGCACTTAAATATCCGAGGGGTGGGAACACTAAAGTAGGCCTCCTAGCGACTAGTCTATATATTTTCTACATGATTAAATAAAAAATTGTTTCGTTTGGGGAGGTCGGTAGGGCGGTTTGGCGTCGTCTACTCCCTACCCCCTCGAAGAAATACCTGAAAGAAACTTTATTACATATTTTCTCTTGTAAAATGAACCTGTATTTTAGATAGACAGCGTAGACTTGGTTTTGTGCATCCACTGGTCATTAGACCCCATTGTTATATTTGTGTTTGTTTGGAGCACAAATACGTAGTCGAGTAGTTTCCTTATTTGTGGTTTGTATTCTTAGCAGCGTAGCACCTTTTTCCTTTTGTGTTGAAATGTGACCGCATCGTCCCTTTAATCAGCGAAAATTCAGATGTGTAGCCTACTTTGTAATCTATGTGAACACGAAGAATATTTATGCTTTATATTACACAACATATAAAATATTTATTTATGCCCGCATGTCCGAAATTGTAGTACTAAGCGCATTGATTGTCGTGTGTGAATTATAAGTCTTTCATCATTACACATTTTTTTTTTTTAAAAATGAAATTTCCAACGCACATAACTATTTAATTTATTTAAAAATAAATTACTGAAATTATTTTTTATTATCTCGTTAATAAATTGATAATTTGCTCTCAAGTCAGGTAATCCTAATATATAAAAGCCCATGTGCGCACAGCCCCGTCCAATAATTTATTTTTCGGTTTTGTGTCACTTCTCTTCCCTATTTTTCTTAACTTTGATAAATCATTGTTTTGACAGTACATCTTAAAATTGTACGTCGTCATGTTACCCCCACAATGATGACACCCGGTGCGGTCAGCATCCCCCCCCCTCACTCGCTTCTGACGCCACTGCTGCTAAGTACAAGAGTTAAGCTTGTGAGGATACCGATCTCATCAGTCGTACGTTAACATCCACAACCTATTGAGAGGATGCGTGTATTTAGTTTCGGGTTCATTCCCACATATGGTTACACTTGGTTGATGCAAATACGCAAAGTTTCTTGCCTCCAGATGTTGATATCAGATTTCACAGACAAGCTCTTCCATACAATCCTCAGATGAACTCACTCTCCCTATTAAGCCACACAGGTCATATTTCCTTACACCAAGACGATGAAAATCAAGACTCACACCCAAATATCCACAGCGACCAGTTTCTACACACAAAACGTCACCTTCTTTATCGCCATCATTCCATGCATTCTTTACCTCCTTCGCACTAGCAAACTCAACTCATAACAACAAGCTTACTCAATACTTGGAGATGTGTCAGCATTAGAGAGACTGAGAACTACACTGATGAAGTGTAATACATGAACAACATGCGTTTGTATGTGGCCCACACATAGCAGAAAACATCCCAAGGTCTTCTTATGTATGGTTAAAAAGTTTACCCTTACCAACCTGTCAGTCCATGGGGCAGGTGAAGTAGAGCTCACCTGTTTCTGTTACCTCTGCATAAGAAGACCTTGACTTTCCCTAACATAAGTCAGGTACCACAGCAGGAAGATGACAACTAGCATAGCTGACGGAAATCATGTCACCACTTCACAAATGGGGACAGAGAAACTAGCAGAGTCCCATTGAAGACTCCAGACAGCAGCCTAGGTCTTAGTGGTGTGGCCTCAAGTCATAATGGGAGGACTAACAATCCACTATGTATTTAAGTTAGTTTCCATTATTTTCCCATTCTACTATAGATCTAAGTTACCCTAAGTTTAGGTAAACGTGTAAACTCAAAGTCAAAGTAACTAACATTTTTGTGTTATCTATCTATATATATAATTCTCTTCTTCGAGCCGTTAGAAAACAAGCTGCAAACGCTCTCCCTACCTCCCCACCCCTACATGGTTTTAGTGAGCTGTGTTCACTCTAAATGTTTACAAGCAGAGCCAACGATTTTAAACGTAGGGGGGGTGGAGGAGGGGGGAGGGAAGGAAGGGGGGGGGGTTATGGTCCTTAACGAGCTACTTATAGTGTTTTAAAGAAATATTTTCAGTGTCAGCGTTGGTACTGTCGAATTCACAAATTATGAATTATTGAAAATTAGAAACAACTAAATAGCGGCGTATGTTATGCCGCGGGCAGGCTCGTATTTAATAAACTCCTATTTGTGGTCCACTAATATTTTAAAAAATGTATACACTAATTTTTTGTAATTTTAAATAATATATTAAAAAGAACACAATTTTTGTTTGGATGTTTATACCTGTAAAAAATGTACACGTCAAATCACGATTATATTTCATATTAACATCCACAAGCTAATTGAAGACATCTTAGATCATTCACTCAGGCATTAATTTTATCTTGAACACACTAATTTAAAAATTCCAAAGCAATTTATGATTTTTTCTTGTGTTTCCTTTTTATAACTGGTGTTTCGCATTCATCGGTTTCACCTGGTACATGACTTCCATTTGAAAAACTAATAAAATTGTCACTGTCACTAAATGTTTTTTTGTGATGTTTTTTCCTGGGTGTGGTGACGTTAGTTTCTGGGGTGGTTATTTCATGGAAACTGTCAACTTTTCTTCGCTTGTTATGATGCTCATTATCATTTGACGAGATTGCTGAATGCTTGCGTTTTTTCTTTTTTGACCTGTGTGAATGTTTTTGTACTGCACCAGTACCTGCAAGAATAAAACATTAAATGTTTAATAATATAGATCTGAAAACCAATTTTTGAACTGGTTTCACAGTATATATTTATATATTTATGTTATAAAGGGGGCATGAGATTGGAAGGCCCTTAGTTCAGTAGCGTAGCGGGGGGGGACGACGGGGACATATGTCCCCGGGCGCCGACCTTAGGGGGCGCCAAAGTGGGTTGGAAAAATAAATTGAAAGGTTGAGGAGGGTGAAAATCGAAAGTTTGAGGGGGGTGCAAATGGACATCTCGAGGGTGGGGTGCAAATCGATAAGTTTGTCCCTGGGCGCCGGGAAGGGTCGCTACACCTCTGGCTTAGTTTTTAATTTTAGGACAGGCAGAACAATAAGTAGGTGACGGAGTAGTCTAGCGGTAGAGAGCTGGACTGCTAACCCGTAAGTCTCAAGTTCGAATCCAGGTTCAAGTCAGTAGACCGTCCCTGAGTCCAGCCAACTTAAGGAAAGTAAAGGCGGCTGGGCATAGTGCTCACCACACTATCTCTTCATATGCCAAGGTCACAGAAACAAGTGAACTCTACTTCACTTGCCTTATAGACCTTCAGGTTTGAAAAGGGAACTTTACTTTAGAACAACATAAATTTACAAAACTGCTGACCTATTCATATTTTGAAAGTGAGCTTACAGGGGGTGTGCAGCCAGAATGTTTCTGATCAAACTTATATCTTCAGTTAAAAAAATAAACAATAAATAGTAAAAAGGACTGCATTAAGAAGGTACCTGCTCCAAAAGGTGTGTATCTGGGTCTAAGTCCCTCAGGCATAGCAACTGGTCCAGGAGGTGGTATACCTTGATGCTGCTGTAGATCACTTGGGTTTTGTCTCTGGGACTTGGTGACACACACAAAACCACTTAAAGGTGGCCCTGAGATAAAACAGTACAGGCCTTCACTTGGTGACACATACAAAACCACTTAAAGGTGGCCCTGAGATAAAACAGTACAGGCCTTCACATGGTGACACATACAAAACCACTTAAAGGTGGCCCTGAGATAAAACAGTACAGGCCTTCACATGATGACACATACAAAACCACTTAAAGGTGGCCCTGAGATAAAACAATACAGGACTTCACATGGTGACACATACAAAACCACTTAAAGGTGGCCCTGAGATAAAACAATACAGGACTTCATATGGTGACACATACAAAACCACTTAAAGGTGGCCCTGAGATAAAACAATACAGGCCTTCACATGGTGACACACAAAACCACTTAAAGGTGGCCCTGAGATAAAACAATACAGGCCTTCACATGGTGACACACAAAACCACTTAAAGGTGGCCCTGAGATAAAACAGTACAGGCCTTCACATGGTGACACATACAAAACCACTTAAAGGTGGCCCTGAGATAAAACAATACAGGCCTTCACATGGTGACACATACAAAACCACTTAAAGGTGGCCCTGAGATAAAACAGTACATGCCTTCACATGGTGACACATACAAAACCACTTAAAGGTGGCCCTGAGATAAAACAATACATGCCTTCACATGGTGACACATACAAAACCACTTAAAGGTGGCCCTGAGATAAAACAATACATGCCTTCACATGGTGACACATACAAAACCACTTAAAGGTGGCCCTGAGATAAAACAGTACAGGCCTTCACATGGTGACACATACAAAACCACTTAAAGGTGGCCCTGAGATAAAACAATACAGGCCTTCACTTGGTGACACATACAAAACCACTTAAAGGTGGCCCTGAGATAAAACAATACAGGCCTTCACATGGTGACACATACAAAACCACTTAAAGGTGGCCCTGAGATAAAACAATACAGGCCTTCACATGGTGACACATACAAAACCACTTAAAGGTGGCCCTGAGATAAAACAATACAGGCCTTCACATGGTGACACATACAAAACCACTTAAAGGTGGCCCTGAGATAAAACAGTACAGGCCTTCACTTGGTGACACATACAAAACCACTTAAAGGTGGCCCTGAGATAAAACAGTACAGGCCTTCACATGGTGACACATACAAAACCACTTAAAGGTGGCCCTGAGATAAAACAATACATGCCTTCACATGGTGACACATACAAAACCACTTAAAGGTGGCCCTGAGATAAAACAGTACATGCCTTCACATGGTGACACATACAAAACCACTTAAAGGTGGCCCTGAGATAAAACAGTACATGCCTTCATATGGTGTAATAGTTTAACTAAATCAGTGTCCGCATTTTTAAACAGGATTTAATGGTATAACAAAACTGGAGTTGGCATTTATTTATACTTGGTTTAATGGTATAAAAATAAGGATAATAATATTGAAAGCACATACCAAGTGTGGTTTTATTATGTTTAGTTTTTACTATAGGTACCACATCCAATCCAGGCAAGAAAATCCCATCCTAGTTCAATATAACAGAGGAAAAAGAGTCAACACAAAATCATGACTAATAAATACATTATTTTAGTGTTTATATCTCTCATATTACTTCCCCAGAACCAGACTAACTCCAGTTTTTAACACGTTTTTCTTAACTCAGCTTCGCGTTTGTTTGGTTGTTTGGATGTTTGTTGTTAAAATTGACATCGAAAATTAGCCCACTTCTGATTGCTCTAGAGACCTGAAATTTGGCATGCATGCTACTTTCGCCTAACAATTTCAGATGCAATCATAAAAACTAGCAATTAGTGACCGTAATTAGCTTAATTTAATTACGCCCCAAAGACCATAAAATTGAGGACATGATTTCTAAAGATACCGACAAGACTTGAGGCCTATTGACACAGTTACTTCGGCCCCAATCGATGTGAGCGCGCTGGCCGTGATCGTATAGTGGTTAGTACTTCGCGTTGTGGACGCGACAACCCAGGATCGAATCCTGGTCGCCCAAGATTTTTAGTCCGTGTATTTATAAACACTTTTTTAAAAACCACGTTTTTCATGTGTAGCAACGGACTAAAAAGGAGAAAATAAAATACTTAAAAAAAACTTTTTAAAAAACCACGTTTTTTATGTGTAGCAACGGACTAAAAAGGAGAACGGACACGGTAACACATTGTTAACGGTGACACGGTTGGTACGCTGGGCATGCTAAAATACACATAAACACGTTTTTCCTTAACTCAGCTTCGCGTTTATTTGTTTGTTTATGGGAGATTTGATCATGTGATTCGTGAGTAGATCTCCACGCCAGCAACGTAAATTACACCCTTTCTCTGTTTAAAGCGTATCGGTCGCTCAAGATTTTTTTAGTCCGTGTATTTAAAAACACTTAGTCAAGTCATACTTAATCAAGTGATTAAATAAAGTAGAAAATAAACTATATAAAAAACTTTTTAAAAACCACGTTTTTCATGTGTAGTAACGGACTAAAAAGGAGAAAATAAAATACTTAAAAAAAACTTTTAAAAAAACCACGTTTTTCTTGTGGACTAAAAAGTAGAAAATAAATGTTCATACATTTGATGACAAAAAACGTGGGTCGGGCAGATGGGTCGGGAAATTTGATGGTGAACGTACCCACGTTTTTTGTCATCAAATGTATGAACATTTATTTTCTACTTTTTAGTCCACAAGAAAAACGTGGTTTTTTTAAAAGTTTTTTTAAAGTATTTTATTAACAATGTTCACAACAAGGCTTTAAAGTTTTGTTTATTATTTCTATATTAAGTACTTGTGAAACGGAATTTTTTTTGTAATAGCTAAGAAATATGGCAAAATATATTTATCACATTGTGGTGAAATTGCAAGAAAAAAGTGGATAAATCTAAAAGAAAAAGAGCTAAAAAAACCACTTCTGGGGAAGTCATATTGTAAATGAAGAACACATGATAATAACTCAATGCATAAATTGTGTTCAACAACTTCAACCATATACACCTTCAATAATTCATAAACACAATGTAATTAAATTGTTAAAATACACCCTTTAACCATATTCCCAGTATACAGTTACCTGATGATTAAATGCAGTTAGCTCATACACAGGGGTCAACTGACTAATTTTGTCTTCATTACCAACCTGTTTCAATAAAAAAATACCAAATTAGACAAGAGTTTATTCAAGATGAAATTTTAATACTTTTAGATACCTTCATGCTATAACTAAACATTGAATCAAACTATAACTGCTAGTGATGATTAGGAAAATAAGGTTTGTGTAAAACTAATGACTAATTTGTTAACACAAAAAAGAAAAGCAAACATACCTCAATCTCAACTATTTGGTTGACATCAAATTCTCTGTTTTGTAACTTTTTAACATCAAACTGCAAATTGATTAGATACAAATAATTTTAAATCAAAACACTGGAATATAAGATACATCAAAAACAGTATTAACATAAATTTTTTTTAGCCTAGTTTAACTCTTTAACAATTACCCCTTTTGGGACTCGAATTAGATAAAACTCCTCCTCATGTTTGTTGAAACTTAACTCTGAGTCATCCTCTGTGAAGTTGTTTGGAACTTTGAAACTAAGAGAAACGCAAAAAAAAAAATCCATGTTCACTTTTTATTAATCATTTGGAAATATACCACATTTATAAGTAAAGAAAAGTTTCATCATACAGAAAGGAAAAGGCTTTAGCATACTTGACTTTTATTTGTCAATATGATACATTTATTATTACTCAATTTTAATGAAACTATTTTTACCATATTTATACCTCATTTTAAAGTGATCTTGTTGGATAATAATCATTCAAAATGTAGACATTGGCTAAAACCTGAAATGAAAGAGTGAGATTGAATGAATATTTATAAAATTTGCAGTTAATGGAATTAACAGTGTTTAAAAAAAAACTTGTTGATTTGTCTAACAACCTAAATCACAACCACATAAATTGTTTAAAATGGATAAAAGAGATAAAATTTACATTTGATAAGAGTTATTACGAGTACTGGTAAACATTAATTCCTTGGTTCAGCTGAGCACTAAACCAAAATAATCAGCCATAGAGAATGATAATTTAACTCTTTAGTTACAAGCAATGTTCACTCTAAAGAAAAACATTAACGCATAACAAGTATTTTTGTGTGCATGATGTCCTCAAAGTATTACACAAATATATATGTGTTTTACAAAATAACTTCACAGATGTTAAAAACTACTACAATATAGAGAGAACATTGGTTACTGAATCAACAAGAACCAGGCTTTTTAAAATTCCTTATTAATCAGACCACTTTAGTCAACTAGCTAGTGACTGACATAAATGACCCTGCCTAAAGTTTTAATATGCGAACAGGTTTTAAAAAATTGAATGTCCCTATCTCAGGGAAAATAACTAAGTTCTAAGGTCTCTACATCATGACCAAAATAAGTACCATCTTGGTGTAAAAAAATGACATGGGACACAAGTAAATTTTAATGTTGAATGAGTTGTTTAAAGCATCACCTGCCAAGTGTCAGAGTTTCTTTCACATCTTCCCCCCCCCCCCCACCTTAACAAAACAGAACTTATTTTAAAATATTTACTTTTACCAGTGACCGCACCCCAGGACAATTTTGTCACTCCCCACCAGAAAAAAACCCTGAAAGAAACACTTGTGACAACGGATCAAACAAGGATTACCAATAAATTACAATCAAAAGAGTCATGACATAAAGTCTAAATTTGAGTACCAGTATGTGTAAGGAACCTAAAAATTCTACTCCATCTAATGTTTTTGCACTTCTTTATTTAACAAAATATATCCTGTCTCTATCGTCATTTTAAATTTAATTTTTCCAAATTGAAGTGATGTTTATGTGCAAATTATGTACGGAACATTGGAGTTTGCCAATGTATGCAAACTTTTAAAAAGCATTGCAGTAGTGTGCTCAGCGTAGATTAAGGAGTCATCCATAAATGACGTCACGCTTTTTTTGACGATTTTTACCTTCCCCCCTCCCCTCCATCACAAAAAGCCAGGACCCTCCCCCGTAAAATGATCGATATTTTTCCAAAATCTTGTCTAAACTATAACAATTTATTAAAACAGTTATTTAAAACGCGAAATAACGTCTAAAATTCGTTTTCTAAAATTGCTTTTTTATAATGCAAAAATGTGACGTCGCAACATCTGAGCCCCCCCCTCATCACACATCGTCACAAAATTACGGACCCCCCTCCCCCCTACGAGTGTGACGTCATTTATGGATGACCCCTAAAGCTTATGATTAAATGAGTACACATTTTTGTTGCTTGTATATAATATATTTAATTATATTTGCTTTATGCATTTTTGCTTGTTTGTGTTCATTCATATTTTATTAAAGCTCCAAATTTTGTATTCTGACTCAATACTTTCCTTCATTGCAATGTTCATATATTGTAAATCATTCCTTTGAAGTAATAAACATTTGTTCACCTAATTCTAAACCTAACTTAGTAGGCCTAACTATTAAACTAATAATAAATAATATTAATAATAATAGGCCTAGCCCTAATTTTATTATTTAGGCCTATTGAACAAGTCACTTTTTTCACATGATCTTGATTAGTCTCGGACGATTTTACGTTCGTAGATTCTAGATCTAGATGTACCTAGATCAGATCTAGATTAGGTCTCTACGAAGTCTAATAATATTAGTTATTAATATTAGGTAATAATATTATTAATAACTTATTAATCAAAACTTAAGAAGTCATAAAAAACCGAAAGATTACATAACAGTATTACATTACCATTACATTACCGAAATCTTGAGATCTAGGGTAAAACTCCATTTTAGCGTATTTTATTTCTCCGCTGCTTGTTTACCTCCAGTTGAGCGTATTTTATTATAACAACCGAAACACACCAAAACACGATTCATTTATTTGTATTGTATTTTTGTTTTAACAAATTAATAAAAATGAATAAAAAAACAAAGAGACTGACTTTGTTTTAGATTTTGATAATTTAGTTTTATTAAAACTTGAGAAAAATCCAAACTTAGAATATTGAATGTGCAATGTTCGTGTGTCAGAATTTTCATGGCAATGGGTGAAGTACGTAAACGTAACTCACAATTGCAAGGCGGTTAAGTTTGTATTGTTACAAGTATCTCCCAGGCATGATACTATAAATAAACATTAATGAACTTACAATGACCCCAAAACTGAGGCCAACACAATTTCAAATAACAATTGCCCGAGCTATGACGTATGCTGATAATTCAATGTCAATGTGAACTCACGGTGAACCCGCGACCGTGTAAGGATTTTTCTCCCGCTGAGGATTACACGAGATTCGATATTTAATTGGAACAGTTTTAATGCTTTTTATGTTTTTTTTTACCTTTTCTAATTAAAAATCACATTCATTAAAAAATAAGTAGATCTAGATCTAGTGTTTTCCTGACGTTTTTGTGTTTATTAATAAAACACGCTCAACTGGAGGTGAACGTGAAGCGGGGAATAAAATACGCTAAAATGGAGTTTTACCGAGATCTAGATTAGATTAGATCTAGTTCTAGGACTACTCTTACTCTAGAAAACTCTAGATCTAGATCTAAAGTAAGGAGACTATACTACACTATGTGTCTAGGCCTAGATCTCTAGCTTAAGATATAGGGGCCTATTCTAGATCTAACTTAATATTAGGTCTACAAAACTTAATTTTAACAACGTTCAACGTACCATGTTGTTTTCACTAGCAGACCATTCGGATATGCATCTTCTATATTCTTGGTGTAGTTACCGAAATAAACGTTAAGTTTCCTAAAGACATTTATTTTAAAAAAGTCCTAACGAAAAACATCGTGTGTAAAATTCTAAGATTAACGTTTGGTTGTTGTTTAGACTATATGATTATTTTCAAATGAAAACATTATATAATTATTCATTTAGAGGTCATCAATAAATGACGTCACGCTTTTTTTGACGATGTTTACCTGCCCCCCCCCCCCCCAATCTGTCACACGTCGTCACAAAAAGCCAGCCCCCCCCCCCCCTAAACTGACGCCACACCTAAGCCTACAACCCCCCTCAAAATTGCTGCTGAATTTTTCTTAAAACATCGATATTTTTCCAAAATCTTGTCAGAACTCCGTCAACATAGAGTATTTTGATATAAATTCCTATTACAATTGATTGAAACCTTTTTCTAAAACGCGAAATAACGGCTAAAACTCGTTTTCTAACATTGCTTTTATATAATGCAAAAGTGTGACATCGCACCATCTGGTCTCTCCCCCCCCCCCCTCCTCCCCCCTCAGCACACACCGTCACAAAATTAAGGACCCCTCCTCTCAGAGACGTAGCGACCCTTCCCGGCGCCCGGGGACTAACTTTTCGATTTGCACCCCCCCTTCAAGATTTCGATTTCCACCCCCCTCAAACTTTCAATTTACACCCCCTCAACCTTTCAATTTATTTTTCCAACCCATTTTGGCGCCCCCTAAGGTCGGCGCCCGGGGACATATGTCCCCCCCCGCCCCCCCCCCCCCCTGGCTACGCTCCTGCCCCCCCCCCCCCCCCTAACCCCTAACAGTGTGATGTCATTTATGGATGACCCCTTACAGTGTAGCCTACTTAAGTATACTTAATTAGTACCATACCGACTTGGTCGTAAAGTATTGTAGTATATTTATAGCTATATTTAAATTAATACTAATCTTTATTCTTTGGTCTTTTAAGGTAATTAATAATATATAAGCTTGTTGGGTGTTATTATATATAGAACAAAACAAAAATGCCGTTTTAAACCTAAAAAAAACAACAAAAAAACAACAAAACAAAAAACCAGTGTACCTAAATAAAGCTTTCGTCACAAAGATATTTTATTGATTACGCAAAAAACAGAATAGTTAGTAAAGTTTGGTCCTTTCCTGATTTATTATTACAACATAATAATAAATATTATTAAGAGAAAACATTAAGCGCATATTGACAATATTTTACTTTAGTTACAAATGAAAGATTGCAGTGTCATCCAATTAATACCGGAACAGGGAACATTTTTCTATCAGTTACAAAGAATTGGCTTCGTCGAATTAAGATTGGTTACTATTTGTTTGATTAAAATTCGTTGAAAGGCAGTTACTTTGCTAATTTTTAAAAAATTTATTTTGAAGAAGTAGAACTTCTGGCCCAATGTTCGACCGTGCTCGCATCTCTTGAAATAAGACAGACATTTGACACTTGCGGAAAAGGGGTTACAAGCAGTTTTATGAACTCTTCTAAATCTATCTGCATAGGGGGTCATCCATAAATGACGTCACACTCGTAGGGGGGAGGGGGGGGGGCGGTAATTTTGTGACGATGTGTGATAAGGGGGAGGGGGGTTCAGATGGTGAGACGTCACACTTTTGATTTATAGATAAGAAATGTTAGAAAACGAATTTTAGACGTTATTTAGCGTTTTAGAAAACAGTTTTAATAAATTATAATAGGAATTGATTAAAATACTCTATTTTGACATATTTCAGACAAGATTTTGGAAAAATATCGATGTTTAAAAAAAACAAATTCAACTGCAATTTTGAGGTGGGTTGTAGGCTGAGGTGTGACGTCATTTTAGGGGGGGGGGTCTGGCTTTTTGTGACGACGTGTGATGGAGGGGAGGGGGGAGGTAAAAATCAACACAAAAAAAGCGTGACGTCATTTATGGATGACCCCCATAGCCTAAATGTCACACAGACTAAGAGTAAGACCGTTCGTGTGCCTCCAAAGTCTTTTCGACCATCGTTCTCCATATTCTTATGTCCTGTGATCTTTAATGCTTCTTCCATTTTTAAACCCGTCGTATCCTCGATGTTGTCTTCCCAAATTTTATTATGATTGCCCTTCTTCAGTTTAGAGCTTTTCAGAATATGTATCTTTTTTAACACCATTATTTAAAATAAATATGGTTTAGCAATGTGTGAATCATAAGTGTAAGGCGGCTTACAGGTATTAGAATTGCAAATCGCTTAAAAATGTAACTATAACAGTATGTTTTTATCAAACACATGAAGCTATGCGCAAATATATAAAAGGTAATAAAAATACTTGTTTAAAAAATCAACGATTACAATATTTACAATTTTAATGAAACAATTGCAGACATTGCAAACTACTCAATGTTTGATGCAAGGGGGCACTTCAAATATTTTATTTTTGGGGGAGGGGGGGGGGGCGGACACTGTCAAAAGTATATATTTTCTATATAAATTCAATTTCGTTCTGGGGATACTAAGACTGAACTACATTAAGACCTCATTCTAACACAACAAGAACAAAACTTCTTCACCGGCAACAAAGACCCCTACACTGAAACGTCACATTCTTGCGTACCGCGTCATCATTCAATGCGTTCAATGCAGAGCCCCTCCCCCCCCCCCCCCCCCCCCCGGAAGAGATGCCTGGAAGAAACACTGCCCGCACCCGTACCTACTCCACCCACAGAATAAAATAATTGTGGTTTTTTTTTTTTGACGAAAGTGGAAGCCTGTGAACGAGTTCAAAGTTCAAAGGTTTTGTGGAAGTCATAAATGGATAGATAACCCCCTTACCTGATTTTTCTTTTCTTTTCAAATCAATAAATGATTGATTTTAGTGTGATTAACTGTGCATAATTATCACAAATGATCTGGGTCTAAGTTAATGTATATGGCTATTCATAACTATGCTAATTAATACGGAAAAATATCCTAGTTGGATGTTATTGAGATCAAAACTAAGAACTGCTATAAAAAAAACCCACTTCAAATAAAAGTTTCTTAAAAAAGAATTTTTTAATTGTTTATGAGAAAACAGACTAGTTAGTTAAGTAAGAGCTTAGCTGATTTATTTTTAATTACATGATAATTATTAAGATAAAAAAAAACAGTACAAAAGTGCTCATTAAAAATACTAAACTTTAGATACAAAGGAAAAACTGAGGTTTAAGATTAATATTGGGACTGAGAGTGATCAGTCACTGTATGACGTCCACGCTACATTCAACATTTAATTATATGGACACATAACGGTGTGTGTGGTGGTGGTGTGGGGGGGGGGGGTGAATGGTGGGAATGTGGGAGTTTTATGTTCGGGTACGTTTGGATCTAGGTTTAAGATAGTGGAATGTCCCTGAGTCCACCCAACTCTGATGGGTACCTAACTCACGTTAGGGAAAGTAAATGCGGCTGGGCATAGTGCTGACCACTTTATCCCTTTATATGCGAGGTAAAGAAACATATGATCTCCACTTCATCTGCCAAATGAATCGTTAGGTCTAAAGAGGGACCTTTACTTTACTTTACGTTTGGATGTCTACATTACATGTTAAATTAAACACTTATTATTTTTGTTGGACATATCAATTTATACATATCTTTTAAGGTCTTATTTTGATCATTGTGTCAGACCAATGTATTTTAGAAAATGTATCTTAATAATTTGTTTATAATTCATAAACAAATATGAAGCACTGTTTTTCAGTGGTTACATTAGGCTTCTATTGCCGAAATTGAGTCAGTAAATGTCTTAGTCATAAGTCTTTATCTTTAAATGACGATACAGCATGTTAGGTTATAGATGCATTTAGCTATTGTAAAATTCTTTGCTTATTTAATTTCACATGACAGGACACCTATCGACAGTAACTTAGTTACTAGTACTTTGACCATCTATAGCAGGGGTCTCCAAACTACGGCCCGCGGGCCGGATGCGGCCCGCGAAGTCCCCTCATCCGGCCCGCGGAGATCTTTTTGTCCAAGGAAAAATCGTTTGTCGGTGATTGCTGAGGAACTTTGCCCAGAAAAATCAAAGACAAGCCTGCAAAAAACTGGCCCCCGAACTGAAATTTGATAGTTAATGCGGCCCTCGGACTGAAAAGTTTGGAGACCCCTGATCTATAGTCTAGATTGCTCATCCGCTTAAACATCAAAAGGGTATCCACATATTTGACAGCGCACTCTAACAAACGGGATGATGTTCTTCTCAAAGGCGTAACTAGGGGAGGGCGGTGGAGCGGCCGCCCCGGAACCCGACCTGTAGTGACAGAAAAAAAACTAATTTTAAGCGTGTTACCGAACCTTACACAATCGAGATTAAGAAGATAGACTACTATAAGGCAGAGGTGTAGCGACCCGGGGACATATGTACCCCCCCCCCCTCGCTACGCCTCTGCTATAAGGCTTTACACACTGATTTAATAATTGTATGAAATCTTTGTGTAATAAGAAGTTAAAATTAAAATACTGTTAAGAGTTAGTGACCGGTAAAGGCATCATATAAAGAGAGAGTTCGAGGGAGGGCGCAAAACAGTTTTTTCTAAACGGGCGCCGGAATAGGTCGCTACACCTCTGGTTCTTCCACGTGCAATGCCTCCCTCGGACTGTGCCCGATGGCAGCAGACATTTGATTCCAGAAGGCCACTAAAGCCTCCTCGGTTGTCTCCCCCTCCCCCGGGAATTCCGTAAAGTCGTTTCTTTTCATGATAGACAGAAGGTCACGTGACATGTCCCCCTGGGGCACGGGCTGGTAGAGACACAGGTGCAGGGCTGCGCGCTTGCTGAAGATCTCCTCCATCAAAGCCATCTTCAAGCCGTACTCCGTGTATTCCCCGTCGTAGAACTCCGGAGTGACAACAGGGACAGTTTTAGCACTGTGTTGGACCGCGCCAACGATGGCTGAGATAGCGTAGGTGCCCGGCATGAAATCACGTTCCTCTATACACAAGCGATGACCCCTTTTGATCTCAAGCTCCTGAACCCAGTCTCGGAGCACGAAGTTTCTCGTCTCGTCTGAGTAAAGGACGTACGCGTCGTATTTATACCCAGCGTTGTTGATGACTTTTGGATGAAACCCCACCCACTTTACAAGAGTGACAGCTTTTAGGTACCTCAGCTTCCATCTATACTTATACATAAGCGCAAGTGCAATGATAGCAAATATTAAGGATATCGCTGAAATACTGATCACTATGATGATCGGCTGGGATGCGCAATACCTTTGAAGCGATTTGACCCGTTTTTTCAAATCGCCAATGATTTCAGTCGGAGCGTTTTCGAAATGACAAACCAGCGATGTTTCTTCGTACAGATTTACCCTTGTCTGAGCTAGCCAGGCTAAAATGGGCAGACCTTCGCAAGTGCATGGCAGTGGGTTCAGAGTTAGGTCGAGGGTGAGGTTTCGGCTGGCGGCCATTTGATCAAGCTCGTCTCTGGTGTCCTTGGTGATCCAGGAGATGGCGTTCTGCTTCAGACTAATAAACCTCAGATTCCGCATGTGTGAGAAACTAGAGTTTAAAATTTGTAACTTATTTTCCGAAATAATAAGTTCTTCCAAATTGATCAAACCTTTAAAAAATACAAATGGTAGGTATTCAATTAAATTCCTTGAAATATCCAAATATTTTAACTTGTATAATGTGGAGAATATGGTACCATTAAAGTCAGATTTGAACGCTGATCCTAAAACGTTGTTTCGCAGCTTTAACCATTCTAAAGAGTTGTCGGTACCAAAGAAGAAATCGTTCAATGATTGGCAGTAATTGTCGCTGAAATCTGCAAGCGTAACTGTAGGAGGGAGGGTTCCTTGACTAAACGGTATCAAAAAGCTGTTTGAAAAATAAAGCTCGCGCAGACTGCTATTTGGGCTGACGTGGTTCATCAGCAGAACAAGGCCAAAACTGACGTAATATGACGCATTGATGACCCGGATGTTTGGAGGTAATGGTATATAAGGGTGTGGATAATTGTCGGGTTTATCTACCGCAATGTGTTTTGTTTGCTGATAGCTATTCTGAATAGGACATTGTGTATGTCTCCAGCCCTCGCTCATTAGCTCGCTTCCAGATTCGTTCAGGGACCCTGTGATATTATTAGATACTTCTTGTAAGTTTTGGAAACTCAAATCAACATATTCAAGGTTTCGCATGTTAAGCAAATGGCTTAAAATAAACACATCTAAGGTTAGTTTATTATTCCTTAAAATCAGTCTTTTTAACGATCTCGGTAGCTTGGCGGCAAAAGAGTCTTCAACAACAATGATATTGTTGGAAGTTAGATCTAACTCCTCAAGATGGGTTAGGGTTATTAAATATTTGGCATGCAGTTGTTGCAGCTGACGGCAGTGGTTGTTTCTCCTGTTTAGACTGACCAGGCTTAAGTTTCTAATTTGTGTGTCTTTCAAGCCTTCGATCTCGCTTAGAGCCTTATATAAGTCGTAATAATCTTGCGTTTGAATTATACGCAGCGATTGCAAATTTTTTAGGTAGACGTAAGATTTAGGATCGATGTGGATGAAGTGGCAATAGTGAAACACCACTGATGTCAGGTGTCGGGTGTTCTCGAAAAAAAACTTGCTGATGTTTTTGATCCGGCATATCCCTTGACGCTGACCAATTTCAAGGTGGGTCAGGTGTTGCAGGGTCGATAACTCACGACCAAATGTGTGATCTGTTTGACCGTCGATGTTGAGAAAGGTAAGACTTTTTAAGTACGACAATGCCAGGTTGGGGTAAGGTTGTGTCCCCGTTTGCGTGTTGTGTTGGATGAATAAAGTTTCTAACCGGGAAAGTTTTTGAAATAGACGCGGCGGGAAAGAACGTTGCGTGTACCCTAGTTTGATATTTCGGCTGAGATCAAGCTGTGTTAAGTTAGGGAAGCTATCGAACGTGTCTGTCTCTATTGATTCTATATCGTTGACAGCCAAATCAAGGTTTTTCAGGCGGTTTAAGCCTTCAAACATGTACTTAAACACACGCGACAGTTTATTCCCTCTTAAACTCAACACTTCCAAGTTCGGCACCACGTGAAAGCTTCCGCTTTCAATGGTACTGATATTATTATTGGTCAAAATCAACTGTGACAAATTGGTCGTCACGTTGGTTCCGTGACGAAACGTCACGTTACGCAAGGATTTATTTGAGTCGATCTTCAGCGTAGTCAGCGTTGGGTGGTCAGCGATTTTGGTCGTGTTGAAGATGGTCAGTCTTGTTCTAAACAGCTCCAGGTACCATGTTCTATCCGGCAACGCTGGCGGTATATCCGTTAGTCGACTTCTGTTGGAACAGAAAACCTTGACAGTCTCACTGTCGTCATACTCACATTTACATAACTTGCAGATGTGCGTATTTTCATCCCAGGTCTGGATATGGCTGGAATACTCATTATTTTCCTCCTTATCAAAGGCCAACTCGATATCTCTAGCCTCTTCGCCATGAAATTCAAAATTGTTATAGTTTTCGACTCTGTATGCTTGTTCAATATTTCGCCATGCCATTTCCTGAACGGGATGCTCTATGTTACTGTATTGAGATAGAGAACAGGACAGGATATTGATTGAAAGAACCAATAGTTGATACACGCAGCGCATGCGCGGTGATAGAAGCAGCTCCATGATGCTTGTTTTATCAGCAGCCGATAGATAACTAGTTCATCTCCCAGTTCAATTGGTGTGATTCACTCAACCGCTGGGGAAAATAAAATAAAAATATCACAAGCTAATGTGTTGTGTTTATAATTTTACCATTTGAAATTAATTTAAAATAATTTTTTTAAGTAGATAGTGCATAGTCCATCTGTTTTTAAGGACGCTTATAATATAAGTTCAGTTAGAAATGGTCAGACAAATTTAAATAAAAATTATGGCGTCAGTGGTGCTTGAACAGTAGTCTACATTATTTTGTTAGAATCGAATTATACATACTGACATTACAATGGCACATTGGCTATTGTTCTATATTTAACCAACTATGTCAAGCTATTAACTTTTTAAACAAAGCTCCACCATCGGATTAAGGTTTGGGGATATTTAAAATTGAACCCGTGGACAGTTAAAACAAATGAAATATTATTTGAATTAATAACATATGTATAAAAACACTTTTTTAAAAGAATTTTGAATTATATCTATTACCGAATTAGCTCTTTATTTTAAAATGATATCAAAATGTTATTTCAATTTATTTATTTATGATTAAGAAAACGCTATTAAACTAGATATGTATCATGTTTATTATATTTAATTTGTCTAGTCATTCGCATTGACAGTGTAATATCACACGGTTTTACATGGTCCAATGAATCACTGTAAATTCGGAAACGGTGTTGTAGGGAAGAAGAGCTCATGGTAACTAACCTAACTCTAAACGTGCCGAGTTCGAAATTACGCGTAGGAAAGGTTCATAAGCTGACAACAGCAACCCATTTAAGAGAAAAAAAACTTCAACATAAAATAACTGAACAAAGGCGATGGAAGCAAATCCAGAAAAAAAGCAGGCTGGAGTAGGAGTCAATTGCGGCATAACCTGTTAACATGTTATACTTAATTATATGGAGGAACCCCCCTCCCTCAATATGAACGAAGAAGGAGTATAAATATAACCAAACATACAACTGATAAAGTGTACAACAAGAGGAGAAATCAGCTTTGAGGAATTTAAAGTGGTTAGGAATAGAAAGGAGTAGTCTTTAAAAACTTACCTGACAAATAAAAAGTTATCCCATGCACCAAGGAAAGAACTTTAAAAATGTTAAAGAAACTTTTAGCATTTTGTAAATCTGGGTTATAATACACTCGATTTTTTAAAACCAAAGCTTGTAGCATGAACCTGATTACATTTGGAAAATAAGACGTACCTCATTGTTTTCAATAATTTAGGATGATTATAAACAAGACGAAAATGGTATGTATTATAAGCTAATAAAGTATACCTGTAAGGTATATTTTATTTTCATTTTTCAAAAACAACTATTGCCCCAATACTACTATAATTCATTTAACGACTATTAGAAAACGACTACTAAATGACTAATTCTAAGAACACGGAAAAAACATCTCATACGAATCAAAGTCAAAGCTATGTGATTGGTCAGAATACATCGAGCAGCATCAGAGGTATCCACTCGTTACCCACTACATAACACTTCCTGTTTGTCTGGCTAGGTTTTGATGACACGACCTTAGACCTTACTGCGACCTTCAACTCCTCTTTCTGACTTCCTGATTTACTTAGAGTCTTAACGCGAAACTTTATATTAAATTGGAAATGACTTTCAACCTGTTTTTTTTTTAAGAAAAATATAACGTATTCAAATTATGGTATTTGTTTTACAGTATGTGAGGCGTAAGATGAAGGTGTTAAGGTGCTATACCCCCTCCCCTTCCCCATAGATCCCCCAGAAATGACAACTGTCTCACATTAAGTGACAGTATATTCCAAAGTCAGCCAATATCACTAGTCGGCGTTTTGGCCAATATAATCTCTCACTAGCCGGCACATTTTTCGAGATTTTTAAAATTTAATTTCGGACATTGGCCAGCCGGTTCTCGAACTAGCCATGAACAATTGTCCAAAGTCAGAAATAGAAGATCATGGGCACAGTTTGAATGTTTGTCTATCTTTATTATCATAAAATTATCCCCATATTGATTATTAATTAAAATAAAGGACAAAAACAATCAAATTATATTATGGTACTAGATTTTCAATCAATATATTTGTGTTATAGGGTATGTCTATAATTTTAGTCTTGATTTCGAATTTCCTAAACCGCAATGAATCATTAAATCCTAGCACGAGCATTAAATGTTAAAATAATTATTTCATTTAAGACAATATGATACTACAGAAAAACACAACTGTCTGTTTTTTTAAAAATAGTTTTGGCAAACCTCACTCAAGCAAGTCAAGCAAGGTAGTGTCAAGTAGTCCGCAGTACACGAAAATATGATATTCAAAATTAGACTTATAGTTTGTCTGCCTCTTGGTCTGTCCACTTTTTTAAAAGTCACATACCCACGAACAGACAGACACACACACCTATGTCTCTCCTCGGAACCCAATACATAGGTACTTTCAATAAGGGAATGAGTGACAGAGGGGTAATGTCTAAGTGTCTTTTTCTCACGACCCTGAAAGAACTTGCAATCTCTATAAATGACCAAAGAACAACCTCATATAATATAACCACCGATTAGGATATCTTTCATATAGTTTTAAAATCCACATGGAAGGTCTAAACCAGTGGTTCTTAACCTTTTTGGGGGTGCCGAACCCCTCCGGTTTCATATGCGCATTCATCGAAATCATCATACTTTTTAGTTCTATCGTCCGCATTGACAAAATTGGATCGCGAATCATGAGTCGGGTGTATATCTTGGTCTCCGCTGAAACCCTGAGACTGAATCACCGAAACCCTGGGGTTCAATCAAACCCAGGTTAAGAACCACTGGTCTAAGATGGCATCCATTTATGTTGTCCACAAAAATAATTTGAATTTTACAACCCTCTCCGTGTTGAATATAACTATTTTGATTTTAAATTGAACATTTAGACGTCATGCTCAAATGACATTTTAAATGCCATGTGAAAACACTACACGATGTGATGCTGCTGCTAAAAAAAATCATAATACGTCAAACCAATATTGGTGCTAGATCAACAAATATCTAACTCTAACCATAACAACAAAAGTAAAAGTAAAGTTACCTTTTCAAACCTGACGGTCTATAGGGCAAGTGAAGTAGAGTTCACTTGTTTCTGTGACCGCAGCATATGAAGAGATAGTGTGGTCAGGACTACTGACTTGAACACGGATACGAACTCGAGACTTACGGGCTAGCAGTCCAGCTCTCTACCGCTAGACCACTCCGTCATAATTGTAAGACGAAGTAAAATTTGTGACTTGAGTGTCATAATGGAGAAATTAGAAACAATCTGTTCGTATGTGCTCGGTATTAGAGCGAACAGGTGCTCATCAGGTGCGCATCAAGGCATGGTGGTTTCAGGACATGTCTGCAGTGTTTCTTTCAGACTGGTTTCTCTTGGGGGGACGGACGGTGGGACGGGGGGACACTGGTAAATGTATACATTTTCTACATAAAATTCTATTTTGTTCGGAGGATTTGGGCGGTAGATGTTTTTCAGAAATGAGGTACTATGGCAACGGATAAATAAACTCCAAGCTGAAGAAGAGATCATCCAGAGAAAATGGAGATGGTTTGGTTAAATACCAAGGAATCCTGTATCCAGCATAACAAGACAGGCAACCACCTGGAATCCACAGTGCAAAAAGGAAAAGAGACAGAAAGACATTGAGACGTGACCTAGATGAAGACACCAAGAAGATTGGATACACCTGGGGACAGTTGGAGAGACTAGCCCACGACAGAGACGTCTGGAAAGCTCTTGTCAGCGGTCTATGTCCCAGTAGAGGCGGTATGCTAACCTGTTCAAATTCCCCGCCCAAAGAGATGCCTGAAAGAAACTCTGCATGTCTGTTACCTGTCTATGTTGCACATAAGTAAGTAAAAGTAAAGATTCCTCTTTAGACTTAGCGATCCGTTGTGCATACAAAGTAGAGTTCTTGGCCTTTAATTTCCCTAACATTCAGAGCTGGGTGGGTACAGGGACGTTCCACTGGTTTGAACCCGGATTCGAACTCGAGACTTTCGGGCTAGCAGTCTAGCTCTCTACCGCTAAACGACAGTTGATTAAGTGGCACATACCTATGTGTAACCAGTTTAACTTTCTATTTGTTACCCGCGAATGACCTTTCAATATGTTAACATTATATGCTACATATCAATAAAAAAAAATGTTTGAATGGGGCCTTGGTCGTACAGCCAGCTTTACCATCACGCTGACCCCAACACAATAAATGTCACGTTAGGTGTGGGGGGGGGGATGCTTGTAAACAATCACCCACGTGACGAGAAGTGCAATAAGGTGAGATATAAATAGCGACACGTTATTATAGGAGAAATCCGCATTGAAGCAAAATGGAGGTTGCATTTTGTTACGTGAGTTTAAAGTTTTCTGCTTCATATTTTGACGATGTATGCCTTTTAATCGTATGCATACCTGCTATGTATTGTGAATCTTAGGCACGTATTATTGTATTATTTTTGTGTGAAAGTTATGGTTTCTTGGTGATAAAAGAGTATTGGACAATTCATACTTAAGAATTCTATTTTAAGACTATTACGTGTTCAAAACAGAAAATATTCTCAGGCGTACTAAATCTTATATTGAGTTAAGGTTGTTGGAAATGGAATTCCATTTACTCTAAATAAATTAGCACTTACCAATATGCCTATTTAATTAAAAAAGACGAAATTCTAATTTTAATGTTGCTGATGCAGCTCATGAACCGCCTATTGCATATCACTATCCTAAGCGCCAGGGGTGAGCTGGCTGTGTCCAAAAGGCCCGGGGAATTTTAAAAGCCCCCCCCCCCCTTCTCCCCAAGGCAGGTTAAAATTTTCATTTTGCATTTTTCACCAAATCAAAGTCTTACGGTCATCCTCAGCTTGATGGAAATTCACGCGAGAAATTATTTAAAAAAAAAACAACAAACCAATAATTAATTATCCTAGTACAACAACGTTCTTGGTGGCTCACCGTGATTTTTCCGGGTAGACAAGCGGACCAGTCCACCCCCTGCTAAGCGCCATTTCAGTGACGTAGCCAGAATCGTCTCAAGGGGGGGGGGGGGTCCAATTTTTACCCCGGGACAAACTTTCGATTTTCACCCCCCCCCCCCCCCTCAAACTTTCGATTTGCACCCCCCCCCCCTCAAACTTTCGATTTGCACCCCCCCCTCGAACTTTCGATTTGCACCCCCCTCATACTTTATATATATATACCGAGGGGTCTATGCGGGGGGAGGGGGGGGGTTATGACCCCCCCTAACCCCCCTGCCTACGCCACTGCGCCATTTTACTGTTTATACACCCCCATCGGGAGCTACAATATTTCTCGCCACCCCTACTGGATGTTAAGGCTGCTAGACTAAAGGAAGCAGAGCCGAGGGGATATATTGAAAAAAGAAAAAAAAAACAGCTCTTTCCATGTTACACAACTGACTTATAGACCATCGTCACCTCCGCATGGGCCTGGGCCGCCTATTAAACACCTCCACTGCCCTGGGTTATTTTATTTAAGGCTCTAATTTAGCTTGCTCAGTACGTTTGTGTGTGGCTCCGTAAAACTAAATAATTTAATCCACTTCTCAACGCCCGTTTTTTGCTGAAGGGGGGTATTAGCTGCAGAGTCAAATCCATCTGGAGTCCTTATTTATCCATCCTTATTTTGCTCTCGGGTTCAGCTGTCTTTTATTGTTCCCTGTCCTTCTGTTCCCTAGCCATTTTGTGTCCCTCCACTACTCGCCGGGCAGGATGTTCATGGCTCACGCAGTGAATTTTATTTCCCCTGTATGCACCATATTGGTTCAGAGGCGTAGCGAAGGGGGGCAGGGGGGTACATATGTCCCCGGGCGCCGACCTTAGGGGGCGCCAAAATGGGTTGAAGAAACAAATTAAAATATTATTTTAGCTGCATTTTTGCTTTATAAATATAAAAAAATATATAAGGGGGGGGGTGCAAATCGAAAGTTCGAGGGGGGGGGGGGGGTGCCAATCGAAAATTGAAAAGTTGTTCCCGATGGGGCGCCAAATTGAAAGTTTGTCCCCGGGCTCCGGGAAGGATCGCTACGCCTCTGTATTGGTTGGACATCCCGTATCAATTAATGGATCTACTTTTGCCCGCTCGTGCCCTAAAAACACAAGGGGCTAATGAAGAAATAGAGTTCATCTGTTTCAGGGATCTCGGCATATGAAGAGATGGTGTGGTTAGCACTCTACCCAGCGCGTCAGCCGCTGTGGACTTAGGGAAGTTCTACTGACTTGCAACCAGATTCAAACTCGAGACATTCGGGTTAGCAGTCTAGCTCTCTACCACTAGGCCACGCCGTCCCATATTCATTACTGGATAGTCCATTCAAAAGAAAATGCATGTGTTGACGAAGTAAATGAATGAAAGAAATGTAAAAAATGCTAATAATAGTTGAGTGTTTGTTGAATAAATTTGAATAAGTGTAATCATTTTAACAGTGTCGGTGTAATTAATGTTATTATTAGATTTGCAATAAAGGAAAACTTGTAAGGGTAAAATATTCTTTCTTAGCACTCTTTTGTGATGGTGTTTGAGGAAAGAGTGTAGAGAATAAAGTTAGTTATTTTTAAACTGAATTGTGTTAGTTCATTTACATTTTAGAATTAATTTATTTTTTGTAAATTTTATGAAAATGTGATCAGTAACCATAATTTCCCGTATTAACTTTTTGAGTAATCTTTTACAAGGGAAATGACTCAATATTTTTTTTGGAAAAATCATCCAAGTTAGTTTACATCCCATAGTGACAGAATACGGCTCATGTAAGAAAAGTTGGGGATGGGAGAGGGGGTGGGGAATCAGCATACAAAACGTCCCTTACGGACAAACCCAATGGCATAGCTACGTGCGAACTAAATCAAGATATTTCTGGGAAATATAGGAAATACCGCTGTTGGCTTTACTTTGAAAATTATTATAAATGATGTGGAAGAAACAAAGATTTTGTTTATTTTGTTAAAAAAAGTATACATACATGCCTACCAGGGGCGTAGCGAGGGGGTGCGGACCGCACCGGGTGACACCATTTAGGGGGGTGACATCAAGGCAAAAAATAGCAAAAATAGCAAAAAATAGAAAAACTTGAGGGGGGGGGGGTGCAAATCGAAAGTTTGAGGGGGGGGGATGCAAATCGAAAACTTGAGGGGGTGGGGTGCAAATTGAAAACTTGAAAGTTTGTCCCCGGGAAGGGTCGCTACGCCTCTGGGGAGTGACGCCATTAAGTGAAGCACCGGGTGACACCCGACCTCGCTACGCCACTGATACATACATACATACACACACATATATATATTATACAATTTGTAAGTGTCGTGAACTTGAAAATTACTTAGTCTTAACTTAGAGACTACATGCTTGTTTAGGAAAAACATTGGCGATTGATCCACCATCATCAGTATGATTATTGCAATAATGAAAGTATACATGAAATTAAGTAATTGTTGCACTGTACTTGAAACTAGTTTTGTTACTTAATGTTTGAAATAATGTATATTGTAACGCATAGGCTTACCGTGTTGTACTGCAAATATAGAAGTCAAATGGGATTTACCATAGTACGTACAGAGTTTCTTCCAGGCATCTCTTCGGGGGGGGGGGGGGCCACGAAAATTTTTTACTGCCCCCCCCCCCCCCCCCCCCGAACGAAATGAAATTTATGTAATTTATATAGAAAATATATACTTTTAACAGTGTCCGCCCCCCCCCCCCCCGAAGAAAGTCTACCGCCCCCCGGAGAAAAAATTCTGGAAGAAACACTGAGTACGTACACCTTGGTTAGGTTGTATCGAAACTTTAAACCACCAAAGTTCAAAACCTTTTTCAAACTTATCAAGTGGCGAGAAGAAAAAACAAAATGTTTTCCTATTAATTAGTTAATTATAATTTAATTTTTAGCAAAATTATTTTTAACTTTATATCAAGGGCAGGCTGTACGGCACTCTAATTTAAACCAGATACAACCGGATTATTTAAAAAAAAAATGCCAGTAAAAAATGATAATCCTACTATAAGATGTAATGGATTTTATTTGAATGTGATCGAAAAATATGCTTTAGAAACGTCACATGATGTTTTAGAAAAGTGCTTATCATAGTGAATAAGGGGTCATCCATAAATGACGACACGCTTTTTTGACGATTTTTACCTCCCCCCTCCCCTCCCCTCCCCCCCCCCACGTCGTCACGATAAGCCAGACACCCCCCCCTAAAATGACGTCACACCTCAACCTACAACCCCCCCCCCCCACCCTCAAAATTGCAGTTGAATTTTTTAAAAACATCGATATTTTTCTAAAATCTTGTCTAAATTATTACAATTTATTAAAACAGTTATCTAAAATGCGAAATAACGTATAAAATTCGTTTTCTAACATTGCTTATTTATAATGCAAAAATGTGACGTCGAAACATCTAAACCCACCCCCCCCCTCGCTCATCACACATCGTCGCAAAATTACGGACCCCCTACCCCTACGAGTGTGACGTCATTTATGGATGACCCCTAAGTAATATAGTTTTTGCGATTTGATAATAATAATTAGGGTAAATTAGCGCCGCTGCGTTACGACGGAGTAGGCTTATGCCTCAACGCTCGAATATTCTTGCGCTGTTTAAAACATGTCTATTTCTCCAAAAATCCTAAGCTTAAATCTTAATTACTAGAATAATTGGGGGCTAGAAATAGCCCGATGTAAACTAAAAGGGAATGTTGGCATCTGAATAGACCATTAAGGCGGGCAGGTCAGCTTGGCTCCAATAAAGAAATCAAGGTAGGTATAAAGTGGCAATCAGACCAATTAATACATTCCAAGAAATACCACGTGGTAGACACGTCATGTGGTCCACCACTTTCATTGTCACAAAACTAAAAATAGCGCCACGTCATCGGACAGAGGGTTTCCCGAAACTTTATTCTTTTGAAAAAGAGCTCACAAATATAGCCCTTTAACCTTTCGACTTTTAAGGAAGTCAGTCCGTCTGCAAACCGCACCCAAGTGTCACCCAATCACAAGCAAGACAGACAGATGAGCTTTCGATTAAATCCTTTCATTAAGTAGTAGCCAGTCGGTAGGTCTAGGTAACCCAATCTCGATTGTCGCAGCCAGCTTCAGGTATGTCACCACCCTTCGCCATTGACCTAGTTAACGCGTTGCAAAAGGTTTCTATTCATTAGGGCCCATTATTAGAAAAGCACATGGTAAATTAAAAAAAAAACAAAAAAAAAACAACCAAATACCCCATTATTTTAAATTATAACCGCAAATTACGTTTGTGTTGACTATAAAGTTTTTTTTTAAACTAAATCATATTCTAGATATAAATAAGAAGTCAAACATTACTTTCCTTAAGGTCAAAATGGCCAAAAAATGTAGATCTATAAACTGAAATCAAATTTGTCAAAAAGATAAGTTTTTATTATTTTGAAATTTACACAAAAATGTATAGATCTATATCAGAAATCCTGCTGAAAGAATCAGCCCACTATTTGGTTAACGAAGGCTACATAATCGTTCATCATCGTTATTTTCATCACCCGTATCAATATATCAAGCTAGCCATGTCTCTAAGCCTCAAACTAAGCACGACGTGTTCGTGTCAATGTACTGCGTACAGTAATACGCAGGTTCGCATAATCAGCACATGTTAATGTTATTTAGACAACCATACCCCATAATAGGAAAGTGGTTGACTATTGCTGTTTTAAGTGCTGGGGGATGGGGTGGGGACCACACAAAAATCTGCAATGGCATCAAAATCTTTCGCTAAATCACACTATTACAAATACTTTTTTTGCAGTAGTAATATTGATTATATAGCTTCAAAACAGCATATAAAAATAAACATATGCAAAACAGTTTTAAAATAATTATAACAAAACATTTTACTGTATCCTACTTTACCCTTAACCATATTATCAAATTAGGTCACTGGAAACTAAACTTAAGAAAGGTCATGTAAGCTCAATTGTTTTTTGTATCTATGAAATAAAGCGAAATAGATTTTTAATTTTTTCTTGTTTCAAATAGTATTTAGTAAAATCTATGAATAAAATCTAAAATAAAGCGAAATAGATTTTTAATGGTAGTAGCTTCTACTACTACTACATAATATAAAATTACATTAGATTACCAACAATAATTGTCAACAAAATAATTGGTCTACCACACAACTAACAATGGTTGTGTTTTACTATGTTTAATTAAGCATACACGCAAACCCTTATTGCGCAGCAACTAAAGTATGTAAAACCGAAACCATTTCTAAATAAACCGGGAGTGATCTCCCCTAAACTTTCTCGAATATTCTTATATAAAATAACAGGGGATGGAAACTCGGGCTATAGACATGATTTTTAATCCATTTTAAATACTTAAAGTTTTAAAAATAGAATAAAATCTCGTAGACAAATTAATTGCACACCAAGTGAACGCAAATAAAAAAAGCGCATAATAGTGCGCAATATTATTAGTACTTTTAAAATTTACATTAGTTTTTTGAGAAATCGGAAGTAGCGTAAATTACTACTTCCAGTCAACGGAAATTACTCAAAATTTAACAGAAGGTAGAGAATTAGATCTTTTACTTACATGTGAAATTTCATTTATCTATCTGAAATAGTACTCAAGTTATAGGCTTTTAAAAAATTCAAAGTAGGAAAAGTACCACTTCCGGTTATCGGAAATCGCTCAAAAGTTGATACGGATCTACGATTTTGATAAAATACTTATATATGAAATTTCATCAACCTAGCTGTAACGGTACTCAAGTTATCGTGTTTACACACGGACAGACACACACACACACAGACACACACACACACAGACATACGGACAAGATTGCAAAATTATGTTTTTCCGTATCAGTGAGGTGTAAAACGTCGAGATTTGTAAAAATCTCGATTTTTTTTTTTGCACGATTACAATACTTTCTCTATACTACGTATATACGAGAAAGTAAAAATGATCTCGAATACGGAAACAAAACTCAATCGAGTTTTTTCCACAGCTAAACTTAGGGCCTACTAAGAAAGACAAGCTCTCTTGGTCATTTCGTATAAAGTAGCCTAAAATAAATACGGAAAAATATTTCCCACAGTAGGTCTATAAAGGTCCAAGAAGTCGATCAGAAAAGTATTGAAGATTACAATAACCACTTCTAGTTTTCTTTTTTTTTTTCTAGTGGAGTGCTAGGTTGTCTTATTTTCAGTGAAGTGTCATACAACTGTATTTTGGGGTAGACATTAAAAGGAAAACAAATGTGATAGTTTTATAGATTGTATAGCCCGTTTTTATAGTATTAAATTATTTAAATGGGGATGCTGTCGAAATGATTAATGACGCTTAAAAACCCCCCAGAGAAATGAATCTTTATGATGAGTTAAAACGTTTGTGATTGTTACCATATAAATAAAAAACATGGAGTAAATTCAAATTTAAAAACAAACAACTTTTTAGTTTCAACACTTTCAGTGTAGCAACTAGGTAGATCCATAGACTTTAGCTTTTACTTGGATGGACTTAAAAAAGGTTAAATTAAATTTCTTTTAACTTCTGGATGTTTGTGTGTGTATGAGGGGGGGGGGTATATTACTAGGGAAAAAATCCCAGTAAATATGCTCTTTAACCATAGTGGCATCTCAATGTAGAGTTGAACCTCGTATGAAAACTGAGGTGTAAAACAATGAAGTTAATGTGGAACAACCTGTGGGGTGGTTATTGGTGCACTTGGTTAAGGGAGCTTTCTGCTGGTGCGGGATTCGGTGAAATGTGCTGTAGAAAATGTGAAGTAGCTTTTTTTTTTTTTTTTTTTTCAAGCTTTTACTTAGGTCTTAACAACTGTCTTTGAGTGGGTGGGATTTTGGTCAAATCTCACAACTTAATTTTGTCCCACCTCTAATGCTGGGATTTCATGCAAATTTTTAAAAATATTATTGAATGAAAAGTAGAAAAAAAAATTATTAAAAAAGTATATAAATACAAGCTTTTATTTTTTACTAGCTTACTTTTTAATTGGCTAGTATAATATTTACATATTTTATATTATTTTAATTTGTGTGTATGTAACTTGTTCATTTTCAGCTTTTCTATACATTAGCCCCAATCTAGTAGTGTAGTGGTGGTCTTTCTGTATGAAAGAAAAAGTAAGTAATGCAGCAGTTGGTGCAATTTAACCCACCCAGAGAAATACTTGGAATACCATGGGATAGTTTCAAAGAAGAGATTTTCAGAATCGCCACCTTCAAAAATTTCCCGAAATCATGTTCTACTTTCGTTTTCTTGTTGGCGGAAAATGGATTTGTTTACACCGGAACTGGGGAAAATGATGACGACAAAGTCACGTGTTATTTCTGTCTTTTCTCTAAAAATAGATGGAACATTTTGGATTCTGTGGAGGATATCCACAAGTTGTTTTCACCTGCTTGCCCGATGGTTACTGGAGAAAGATCCATCAATGTTAGTTTTGTAACTACTGAAACTTTCGAGACCATTGCCAGAAAATTGTTTAGACAATCTGAGTTTGGATTATCCGATACTGAAAACAACTTGATTCAAGCAACGGTGTCAGAAACATCTCAAAGTTCTAACAGAGATTCAGTTGCAAGTGTCAGTCCATTAGACCCTCAGAGATCAGGAAACCTGATAGCGCCACCAGCAGGTTCTGCTCAAACCTCGTCTTTACACCAGGAATCAAGCTTCTCCTCTACAACCAGCCCCGTCATCGTCACCTCGGTCACCCTACAACACATCCCACAACAACAGATACCAGAACAACACATACCCCAGCACAACACTGCTAACCCGACACAGAACCCCACTTCAGATTTACCCAACCAGTCAACTGAAGTATCTACATCCTCCCCACTTCAGACCAGTGCCCACACCATCCCCTCACCTAACCCCACCGACCCAAGACCTCCGACCCAGACCACCCCCTCAACTAACCCCACCGACCCAAGGGCTTCAAGCCGAGGCCCAACATACGCCGAACTAGGGATCATCACAGAAAGACCAAAAAGAATGGAGTACGCACAAAAGATCAAGCGACTTGAGACATACAGCGGATGGCCTAGAGGTCACCATCTACAACCACTTGAACTAGCTGAGGCGGGCTTTTATTTCGCAGGTGAGTTCGCACATATGTCCTGTATGAAGAATCCTGGTCCTTAGTTTACAATTCACTTGATTCTAGGTTGTTGAAGCAGAAATACTACCGTGATGCAATTTGGAGTACCATTTCCGTATGCTTTTACTACCTCCAAATAGTGCTAGGCGTTGGGTACATTCTGAAACTCAATTTAAAAACTATTTTAAAAAATATACTTTAATAAGGGATTTAGCTTTGAGCAGTAGGAGGGCGGCGTCCTTAAATAAAGTAAAGCTTTTTTATAAAGAGTTTTATCTCTCATCGTCACATGTCTTCAAAAACTATAGCGAAATCCCACTTGGAACGTACGCCCCCCCCCCCTCATCTCCTCGACATTATTATATTTTAGAAGAATTATTAGAATGACATTTCATAACACTTTCTGAATACCTCTCCCCTTCGGAGTATGACGTCGTTTATAGACTACCCCTATGCCTAGCAAAATAAATATAATGCATTTACATTAAAGCCAATACCACACGAACTGGAAACACTATAAAATTATAAAATTATGAACTTTTTCTATTATCATTAGGGTACGGTGACTGTGCCCGTTGCTTCTTCTGTGGTGGAGGTCTGAGGAACTGGGAAGATGAGGACAATGTGCTGGTAGAACATGCCAGATGGTTCCCTAAGTGTGCATTTATACGTCAACAGATGGGGCAAGTCTTTGTCGATGCGGTTCAGACATTGAATGCAGATCATGACCTGGTATGCAAAAGTTATTGTTAATCAGTGTCGTAGGCAAGGGGGGGAGTGGGGGTTATAACCCCTCCCATGGACCCCTATTATATATATATATATATATATATATATATATATATATATATATATATATATATATATATATATATATATATATATATATATATATATATATATATGATTGTATACATATGGAAAAATGTTTGAACCCCTCCCATGATCAATTCCTGGCTACGCCACTGTTGCTAACTATTTATACCATAATTACTATAATTATAGTTTTAACATATTTTAGTAGTTCGGTAACTATCAATTATGTTTTGTTTAGATTTCGCTGGAAATGGTTTACCAGAAAATCAGATCCTCAGGCCAAATGCTGTATTTGGGTAAGTCGAGTTTGGTGTTTATAAGTCATTCTTCGTACATCAACTTCTTGACCTAAGACTTGTACTTGTATGCATATGCGTCAAGGAATTCAATCAACATCTTTACACTTTAGCAGAGGCGTAGCGACCCTTCCCGGCGCCCGGAGACAAACTTTCAATTTGGCGCCCCCCTCGAGAGCAAATTTTTAATTTGCACCCCCCCCCCCCTCAACTTTTTGATTTGCACCCCCCCCCCCCCCCCCTCAAACTTTCGATTTGCATCCCCCCACCCCCTCAAACTGCAAAAAATGCAGCTAAAATGACATTTTAATTTGTTGTTACAACCCATTCTGGCGCCCCCTAAGGTCGGCGCCCGGGGACATATGTCCCCCCCCCCTGCCCCCCCCCCATCGCTACGCCTCTGCACTTTAGTGCCCATGACGCATGGGAAAGATCAAGCAGAGTTTATCTATTTCCCTGACCTCGGTATGATTGAGGTTAATGTGGTCTTTGCGATGCCCATCCGCCTTTATTTTTCTAAAAGGAGTCAGATACCCATCAGAGATGGGTGGACCCAACCTCCTACAGAATCGAACCCGAGATCCGAACTCGAGGCATTCGGGTAAGATGTCATGAGCTCTTCCATTCCGACCATGCCGCTCCATTAAGAAGTCAATAACACCCAACAATTACTGGGGCTTTTGATGCACCTAGAAATCTCAATCTTGTCTTTCGGTTTCGCAGTCTACATATATACATGTTATATATTATGGACAAGTACACTAGTACACCAAACAGACCAGGTTCGATTACTCTGGTACACTACGCTAATTCCAGAATCTCAAGAGAATCCCTTACAGAGGGACCCTGCAGTGAAGACAGTGACAGAGCTTGGCTTCTCCCTTCAAGACGTTCTGCAGATTGCTGGGATGATAAAACAGGAGGGTGAGCACATATGATTGTTGTTTGAGAAAAACGTCTGGATAAATAGGGCGTCAAGTTACTTCAGATAGGCGGCTTGTTGCTTAAGAAAGGCGGCTTGTAACTTTGAAAGGTGGCTTGTAACGTTGAAATGGCGTCTATCTACTTCATATAGGCGTCTTGTTGCTTAAGAAAGGTGACTTGTAACTTTGAAATGGCGTCTATCTACTTCAGATAGGCGTCTTGTTGCTTAAGAAAGGTGGCTTGTAACTTTGAAATGGCGTCTATCTACTTCAGATAGGCGTCTTGTTGCTTAAGAAAGGTGACTTGTAACTTTGAAATGGCGTCTATCTACTTCAGATAGGAGTCTTGTTGCTTAAGAAAGGTGACTTGTAACTTTGAAATGGCGACCATTTATTCAGATAGGCGTTTTGTTGCTTAAGAAAGGTGGCTTGTAACTTTGAAATTGCGTCTATCCACTTCAGAATGGCGTTTAGTATTTTTTTCCAAAAGACATCTTGCACCCCTTAAAAAGGGTAGGTGTGTAGGGGGGTGATTATATGTCATAATATGTCAGTGGCAGAGGCATAGCGACGGGGGGTACATATGTCCCCGGGCGCCGACCCTAGGGGCGTCAAATTGAAACTTTGTCCCCTGGCGCAGGGAGGAGTCGCGCTACGCCTCTGGTCAGAGATCACCACAAGTCGTCCCCCCCCCCCCCAACCATTATCTACGGTTAGTTACCGTTAAATAATTTGATTTGAAAAGCAAATACAAAATGCTAACTATGTTTTTTCTAAGTAGGCGATGCTACATTAATGTTTAATTCCCATGCTATACTAACTTCAATCTATAATGCTCTATCTATTATTAAATACTGTTGTATCATTAATAGTAATAATAAGTTAATAGTATTAATAATACAATAGTTTTCTACAATAATAAACTCAGGTCTTTGGATTGTTTTTTTCTAACATAAGAAATCTGAATACATATTTTCCCGAGAAATGTTAGAAAATATTTTTATAAAACAGTTTCATATTTTCAATGTACAAGACATCTTGGCAGAACTTCAAAGCATTGGTTTGCTTTTATTTTCTACGTCACAGCTAGGGAATTCCCCTTAGACGTCACACAACTGGTTACCATAGTTACGGTGAAATCCCCGAATCATGACGTGTTATTGTCACACTTCTTCTATCTATACCTACAGGTAACCTGATTTCGTCGGCCGATATCTTGATTAAATTGAAAGCAGAAGGGAAACGGAAGTTGGTCAATTCGTCTGTAGAGCCGAGTATCAGTGACTTCAGGAGCAGGAATACTCCTGAGATGTTGGGTACATTTTTTTTTCGTTCTCTCACTAGCTATCTCTTGTCTAAGTCTAAATTACACTTTATGAAGTGTAACTTAAGCTTTTAGTTAAGTTGGAAATTTTGAATCACTCCCCCCCCCCCTTATCCGCATACATCAACACGAGTTGACTTTTGGTCAGACTCCCCCCCCCCGCCCCCCTCTTTCGCTTGGACGTTATAAACCGATGACCCCCCCCCATATCAGTGTTTCTTCCAGGCATCTTTTCGGGGCGGGGTGTCTCTGCCCCCCCCCCCCCCCCATCGAGGAGAGTCTACCGCCCCCCCCCCCCAACGAAATTGAATTTATATAGAAAATATATACTTTTAACAGTGTCGTCCCCCCGGAAATTCGAGTCCGCCCCCCCCCCCCCCGAAATTTATTTCAAGTGCACCCCCGGAGAAAAAAGTCTGGAAGAAACACTTTGTATTTTCGCGGGATTTAGAATTGAGCTTTCAAAATGAACCAAGAGAAGTAACTCTTAAATGAACATAAATCGGGAATCCCATTTTGTTATCCCGGTTTCAGAGAAAAAAAAGATTCTTCAGCTCATCAAGCATTCCTGATAATAATAAAGGCTTGCAGCAGATGTTTTACCGCCCTGAAGTACGATATCGATTTATTTATGGAAGATCTGAGCTGTCTATCTATTCAATGAATTTACCGCACTGAACGTTTAAAACCAACCGTTTTTTTTTCTTCTTTCTATAAGCTTCTTCACTTTCACACGTTGAACTTGTATGAGGAACTTCTCCCTAGAACTTTTATATAGGTTCGTTTAGAACACAACGTACAGTGTATTATTTCCGGCAAATAACTGCAGGTAGACTGGCAGTTTTACCTGTTTGTAAATGCACATGCACTCACACCTGAACAGGTAAAGCAGTTTTGACAGGTGTGCGGGTCACCTTACGCATTTGACGTCATTGAAATGACGTAGACGCGGTCGTGTGTTGGTCAAACGTAATGAGTAATTACTATGACGCAGATTACTCTACGTTTACTACGATTATACTACGATAATATTTTAAAATTATATTTATTTTATTTTTCATAAAATTGTTAAATTGTAAAAAAATTTAAAGCGTAATACTTAGAACAGTGGTTCTTAACCTTTTTAGGAGGTACCGAACCCTAACAGTGTTTCTTTCTTCCAGACTTTTTTCTCCGGGGGGGGGGGGGGCGGTAGACTTTCTTCGGGGGGGGGGGGGGGCGGACACTTAAAAGTATATATTTTCTATATAAGTTATATAAATTTCATTTCATTTGTGCATTCACCGAACCCTTCTTAATAGTTCCATCGTCCGTAGTGAGAAAATCCGATCGTAAATCATAAGAGTGCAGAGTTTCTTCCAGGCATCTTTTGGGGGGGGGGGGGGCTACATCCCCTAAGAAAGTCTACCGCCCACCCCCCCCCCCCCCCTTCAGAACGAGATGGAATTTATATAGTAAACATATACTTTTACTAGTGTCCGCCACCCCCCTCACCCCCGAAAAAACGTAGACCGCCCACCCTCCAAAAAAAATATCAAGTGCACCCCCCCCCCCGGAGAAAAAAGTCTGGAAGAAAAACCGTGGGTATGTGTCTTAACCTCTGTCGAACCCCTGAGACCGACTCACCGAACCCCTTCGGGCTCGAAAACAAACCCATCTTAAGAACCTCTGATCTACAACGTATAGTGATCTGGCTCTTCCACAGAAAACATAAACAGAATGAAAGAACAGAACAACCAACTACGTCAGCAGACAGTGTGTAAGATCTGTATGGACAAGGAGGTGGCTGTCGTCTTTCTGCCCTGTGGTCATCTGGTGTCCTGTGGGGACTGTGCTGTAGCCATGAGGGATTGTCCAATCTGTCGGGTCAACGTCAAAGGAATTGTCCGAGCATTTATGTCTTAGATGTGTCATTATTAAACCTACATGAAGTTTTGTAGAAAATCTTGTCTTTGGCAGAATTATTCAGTATTATTTATAATCAAATAAATCAAAACAGTCATGTATAAAACTAAATGCATTTAAAAGATCTTATAATACTTTGTATATTGTGTTTATTATAATGTTTCTTGTTACATTACTGAAGTCTTTCCAATCCTGGGTTGTGCTTTTTCATGGTATTTTTGGTATTTTAAGTTAAAAAGAGTTTCCATTATATTTTGTAATTATTTTGATGTTTTCCGTTTTCAATGTTAATACTTTAAAATAGTTAAAAATGTATATTTTGTCTTCAAATTATTTCATGTAATTAGCCTGTTGTTAATTGGTGTTGTGGTTGTTATAATAAAAATATCAAAGAAATAACTAAAATGTCTTTTTCCCTACCAACCCTCTATTTCCACAGCTTCAATTTGTATAAGATAAGACCTACAGATTATCTCTGCATTCCAACAAGACTGAGTACCAAGCACTAGATTAGAGGCAAATTCATTAAAAAATGCTGAACTTTTTTTTTTCTACTATGTTAAAATAGTACAATTTTAGAAAAGAACCCTTTGCCCAAAACACGGCCGCCCAAAATTATTTATAGAAAGCCTGATTTATTTTGCTCACTAAATAACCAGCTGATGAAATCATTTAGGCCTTGCCTTTGTGCCCAATGGGAGGGCGTCGCCTAGCGGTGGAGCGCTAGACGGCTAATCCGATAGTTTCGAATTCGAATCCGGGGTTCAAGTTAGTGGAACGTCACTGAGTCCACCCAACTCTGATGGGTACCTAACTCACGTTAGGGAAAGTAAAGGCGGCTGCCCACATTATCCCTTTATATCCCGAGGTCAAGAAACATATGAACTCCAGTTCATCTGCCCAATGGTCTAAAGAGGAATCTTTACTTTGTGCCCAAGACACATGGGGCGGATGAAGTAGAGCTCATCTAATTCAATGACCTCGGCGTACAAGTGGACATTGTGGTCAATGACGTTCTACAGACTCGAGCCAGGGATTCTAACTTGTGACTTTCGGGTTAGCAAATCGTAAGCTCCAGTGGCGTTGCTAGGTCGGATGTCACCCGGTGGGGCACCTAAGGGTGAACGTCGATGTCACCCCCACCCATCCACTCACGACCTTTCCTGGGTCTAAACTTTTGCACGGATAATAGTAACGAGGTTTATCTATACACGGTTGACTATAAAGCTTGATGCAACGTTGTTTTCTCTATAGCTAGCAAATTTACGTAATGGTGTGAGCCCCCACACCCCCACCCCACCCCCTTTCCGTCGAGATTTAACAATTTTGCTCTTAAAATACAATTAACATAAATTAATCTTTAATTTGAATGGAATGATCTTTTTTTTTTTTTTTTTAAAATACATTTTGCCATTTTTACGTTGGTGTCACCCGGTGCGGTCGGTACCCCCGCCCCGCCCTTGCTATGCCTGTAGTAAGCTCTACAATTTGACCACGCTCTTCCCTTTCTATACATATACGTTTACATTGTCTTCTTTTCTTTTTGAAATAATTCTAGTGGACCCAGTTCACACTTTTGAGGGTTTTTTTAAACCGCGTTTTCTTTCTAACTTAACCAATTTCTTTCAATCATTTCTCGTGGGGGGGGGGGGGGGGGGGATTGCACGCAGACGTTCACCCCTTCCTCCTCACAAAACAAACATATATAATTTATACAGAAAAAATATTTTAGTATCCGCCCCCACCCCGGACATTTTTGCGCCCCCGTTCAGTTCAGTCAAAATGACATTGTTTGATTAATTTTTTTTACGGTTTAAGTAGTCTAATATGAGAATGCAAAGTAACTGCGAAAATTCTGTAACAAACAGTAACACGATTTAAGAAAACGTGACGTCATTGTATGGACTACCCCTTATCTAAAAATAGTGGGTCTATTAAAGCGTTAAAAACAGTGTCTAGCTAACATTACTAGTTTTGCGTTACAGTAAAAAACAATAAGCTATCACAGTTACAACTTAAAATCGTATTAATTTATCACGCTATTTGATATAACACAGTATTTGTTTTAAACCGGTTACTAAAGGTAAACACAGAACCACAGTGACTGTGAAAACATATACTATTAATATTATATACAGTTTTTGATGTTAAGATTTCAGCCTCAGTTTTCTTACCTTCGAAATTCCATGTCCTCCATTCATCCCAAACACGACATAATTCCCTAAATGGAAACATTTCACCTGTTGATTTATTTCTATTATTAGAAACTTTCAGAAAATAAAAATACGAAGGGTACAATGTAACACTTGAAAATCGATACCGCAAATCTTAACGGAAGTAAATAAAAACTTGGTACCACAAGGTTTTTTAAACGAGTGTTTCGCACTGGATCTAGCTAGCGGAAGGTAAGATTCTAGGTACTAACTTTATAAATCTTCGTATAGTATGGTAGATTTAGATCTAGATCTATACTAGATCTAGATCTACGTTTATTTAGTGGTGTGCTAGGTTTTTTTTCTCTCCAAAACGATTAATTAAAAATTAAATAAACAAAAAGTAACACGTCACTGCACAGTCGCACCTGACCATGCCCATACTATTTATGAATTTCCTATCACAATTAATAGATTTCTATCTAGATATCTAGATCTAGATCCTAGCTTAGAATTATAATTTAGATCTGGTCATTGTAAACAATATGATTTATAATTTATAGGATTATCACGACTATGATCTACTCTATCACGTAAGTCATGATATGATATTCACGAGAATCCGTGCAGCTTGGCGAATGACGATGTGTTTGTGTAACCGAGTACTCAAGTGTACTCAGTACTGTACTAGACTACTCATACTGTACTGTACTGTATCGGAACGTCACTAGATCTAGTAGACTCTATGTAAAAACTAAACGTTACTAAACTGTAGGCTAACTGAACTGTTGTCTACGTAGAGAATCCCAGTTTGTTTTGATTAGCCGTGTGTGCGTCGTTCTTGATTAATCTTACCAGCTAGATCTAGATCTAGATCTAGATCTAGAGCTAGAGATATCAATATGATATAGAATATAGATCTATACTATTCTATACTTATTAGCCTAATAATAATTAGGTCATTATGTCTAATCCCTAGATCTAGAATCTAGTAAAGTATAGGCCAAAAGTAAGTATAAATTTATAAAATATAGGCCTATAGAACTATAGATCTAGATCTAGATCTATATATTAACTAGATCTAGATCTAGATCAAGGCGTAATATAGTAATATAGATCTACTAAATGTTGTATATAGATTTTCTAATAATAATAGCATGAAGTAGAATCTAGATTCTATGTGACATGTCATTTTATGGACAACCCTTAATTGCCTTTTAATTAGTTAGATCTAATATTGTAATTTATTAGGATTGAACTTGTTTCTAGATCTAATGTAGATTCTAAATTGTAATATACGATGTCTTAATTAATTAGAAACTGTTTTTGTTATCAATTTGAAAAAAAAAAGAAATGTGCATGAATTTGTTGTAGGCTGAGTGTATGGATGCGGATCATTCTGAGATCCATAATCGAAAGTTTGTGATATAAGTTAGTTAGATCTATAATCTAGATATATTATCTCTGCCCTCTGAGGCATATTACTATTAGATCTAGTAGTAGTATTAGATCTAAATCTATTCCCTATCTGACTGCAACCATTGCTTGTGTGGCTAACTGGAAAGAAAGATCCTTTACAATGTAGGCTTACTACTACTAGTGTTGAGAGACCTGTATTGTTTTATCATTGATGAAACAGCGAGCACGTTTATTTTTTTACACCTGGACATTGCGATGTGGACAGCATTGTGTAGTCGTAAACACTACACGCCTAACCACAACCAATAGCCATACCCTAGTGGACAGCATTGTGTGTTAGTAAACACTACACACCTAACCACAACTAATAGCCATACCCTAGTGAACAGTATTGTGTGGTAGTAAACACTACACACCTAACCACAACTAATAGCCATACCCTAGTGAACACTATTGTGTAGTCGTAAACACTACACACCACAACCAATAGCCATACACTAATGCCCTAATGAATGGACATCAGACTTTACGAGACCCCTGACCTTATGTAGTCTGCTAGACCGGGGGGGGGGGGGGGGTGACCACTGAGGTTGATGATACGTGGGCGTGTTCGCGATTTTTTGTTTTGTTTTGAAATCTAGTGAGAGACTACGACGCTGAGGTTAATACGTCGGCTTGTTAAGGATTTTTTTTTCTTATTTTAGCAGGACCGTCAATGTGTCTCCAAGCAAGTGGGGGGGGGGGGGGGGGGGGGTTAGATGGGGAATAATCGCTTGTTGTGGTGTCACAAGCAGAACACCAGTACGGTGTGTAGGCCTACTGTGTTGTTTACAATCGGTGGACTTAAACGTTGGTGGATGAACGTGTAACTATCCTGCCGTATTATAGTAATCTAATGCACAGCGCTATGATGAGGACGTATATTATTATTATTAGACTTTGTTTTATAGTAGCCGATGGGATTTCTTGTACAAGTGTGCGATAATAGAATCTTCTTACAAAAGGAGTGGTGGGTTACTGATAGTTGACTAAAATACTCCCATGACTTGCACATATCATTATTAACCCTATCCGTAACCCTTACTTCAACACTAGTCCTAACATAGGCCTAATCCTGATTTCTAATTATTTAAACTGCCGTGATTACAATAATACTAACAAACTTACACACCTATTTTTGGAATAGTCTTATTATCGGACAACTGTATCTTCAATCATTCAATTCAAGTATTGTTTTAATGATTAGGCAACGTACTTAAAACATGTGTATCACACCCGTTGAAAGGGTTGGCTATTGGGGTCAGCCCAACCTGTAGGGCCGAAATGGGGGGAGGGGTGAAGGTAGGCTTCAAGAGTTAGGCCAATTAGACACTAATTAAAGCAGGGTAGCTCGACAGCTGATCAAACCTTGCGTTATAAAAATCACAGTACGTGACCGCAAAGCAGTTGGCGCTAGGTGTAATAAGCGAGTTTAGTGTTGAAGGTGGAGGGAGAGGGGGGGTGTCCATAAATGACGTCACACGCTTAAAAGAAGGAGGGAGTCCGTAATTGTGTAAGGATGTGTGTTGGGCTGAGGGGGGGGGTAGCTCAGGTACTGTGACGTCACACTTTTTGCATTCTGGAAAAAGTGATGTTAGAAACTGAATTTTAGCCGGTAATGTCGCGTTTTTTTTTAAATTTTTATTTTTATTTTTAGAAAACTGTTTTAATAAATTGTAATAGAAATTGATTAAAATACTAGATGTATGTGTTGACCGATATCAGGTAAATTGTGAGAAAAAAAATCGCAGTTTAAAAAAGTATCAAATGCAATTTTGAGAGGCGTTGTAGGATGAATGAGATGTGACAGCATTTTGAAGGGTGTATGGTTTTAGTGACGTGGGGGGGGGGGGGGGGGGGGGTAAAATAGTAAAAAAAAGCATGCCGTCATTTATGGATGACCACTCCCCTTATTAACACTATTACACGAGAAAATAGAGCATGTACACAAATGGTTGTAGGATAGCCGCACGACTGAACGTGTTAACCACCGTCATCTTATTTCCGTTTGTGCACAAGACACATGGGGCAGATAAAGTAGAGCTCATCGTTTCAGTGACCTCGGCACATGAAGAGATGGTGTGGTCAGTACTATGCCCAGCCGTGAGTTAGGTACCTATCATAGCTGGGTGGACTCATGGACTTTTTTTTTTTTTAACCCGGATTCGAACTCGAGACTTTTGGGTTAGCTGTCTATCGCTCTACCTCAAGGCCACGCCGTCCCATGTGTTCACCATATGCTTGGGTTTCTGAAAGTGAAAGTCATCTTTTTGTCATCAAATTTATCATTCTTACTTTATCTGTTGGAAAGTATTGACAGTTTTTTTCCCCAACCCTTAGGCCCAGCATCTCTCCAGTTTTACGCTCCAATTAGACTCATACATTCTTAGTACCTAGAAAGTTGAATACCATTCAAACATGGAGTCGGATTCAACGTTTAAGCTCCACCGACGCCGTAGTTCGTCCGATAGACGTAAATCGTCTGACAAGCGTCAGCCGGTGTCGAATAGACGTCAGTCCTCGCCTATAAGACGTCAGTCCTCACCTGTAAGACGTCAATCCTCACCTGTAAGACGTCAATCCTCACCTGTAAGACGTCAATCCTCACCTGTAAGACGTCAGTCGTCTGATAAACGTGCGACATCCTCGGGATCTAAATCAAAAGGCCGCAGGAACAGCGGCCCGTACAAGACATTTGAAAACGAGACGGCCGGTGTCGGCAGCAAGAAAAAGCGAGGCCGGGGGAGCTCAGAGGAAGATGTGTCCAGTCTGGGGAGTGTCAGGAACGTGGTGATCTCTGCCGGCCGGGGCGTGAGCCCGTGGGTACCAACTGCTCCCAAACAAGGCGCATGTCGTGCCACGCCCACTTCCGCTGCCAAGTCATCTGCCAGTGCCGGGGATCTCAAGACCCGTGTGTTATCAGCTTCCAGACGAGATCCCCGCCCGTCCACGTCCTCACCTGACGTCTACAGACCCAGGGAGTTTCTCCAGACACCCACCAGCAGGGTATCTGCAGGTAAACATGATACAGGAGACTCTGAATCTCCAGTGTACGGCCGGCTGGTCAAGCTGGGGACCAAGACATCCAGCTGGAGCTCCCACAAGCAGCTCCTCAACACCTCCGACAACAGCTCGCCCAGTCCAACACCTCCGCCCAAAAGAAGCAGGGTCAACGTTGAGGCTCGCCATAACCCAAGGTTAAGCTTAAGCCGTGCGGCGTGCGTCGAGTACAGCCATCAGGATTACGACAGCCCTAGTTGTTTCCGAACACCATCCTCCACGCCGTACTCTACACCATCTGCACCAGCCTCTGCCCCGCCAGGTGTAAGCTACAGAACTACCACCACCTGGAAAGAAGAATCGGACCAATCCGCTAAACGCCGCATTGATTATTCTACACCTATCACTTCAAGACAAAAAAACTTCACTGTTGAGTATGAAAATGACACCCCAAAGCAGAAAAAAAATTTCTCAGTTGAAAACTGGGGTAGTAATTCTAGCAAGAAAACCACACCGGTCGTCACAGACCTAAGGCTGAAGTTAAACCGAGCCAGTTTTTGTACCCCAACCAGCGTCACCCCTAAACGCCAGTCCATGCCTGCCACGCCTAAATCACAACCTCTGCCGTACAAGAACCAAAACAGAAAAAATAATTACCGCAAGTCGGAGTCTTTCAGCAGCTTCTCTCTAGTGCCAGAACAATGGAGCAGGGAGTTTGTGGCCCGGAGCCAAACCTACAGCCACAAGTTCATTGACTCCCATTGTCACATTGACTTTATCTACAAGCAGATGGGCCTGGACAGGGGCACAAGTTTCCCCAGCTTCAAGGCCATGGTGTCGGCATCAATGCCAGCCAACTATGAGGGCTGTGTGGCTGTCTTCTGTGACCCTAACACATTTGCTGATCCATGTAAGTCATTGCATTTTGGCACATTCATTAGTACATTAGCACTAATTAGATTTTAAGATGTATATCATATATTTTGACACATCCATTAGAACATTAGCATTAATTAGATGTTAAGATGTAAATCATTGCATTTTGGCACATTCAGTAGTAGCCTACATTAGCACTAATTAGATTTTAGATGTAAGTCATACATTTTGTTTATTTGTCATTTCATCAATCCTGTTGCATCATATAAGTCATACCACATTTTGGAACATTCATTAAAACGTTATCACTAATTAAATTGGAACATAGTTCAACATAAGTTTCGTAAATCCTGTTGCAACTTACGTCAATGTAGGTCTACATTTTAAAAATTTAATTAGAAATTTATCACTAAATAGATTGTAATTTTGCTCAACATTATTAGTTTGTTTTGTGATACATTTTAATGCATTAATTAGAAAAATATCAATTGTGTAGTATTTAATTAATACAACTCAACACAATATATTTTCTATTACATTGAGATACATTACTTTGTACATTATGAAAGTTGTGAAATATCACTCAACATAATTTATTTATTGGGTAATACATTTAATACATTTCTTTGCAAGTAATCAATAATATCCTGTGTGAAATATTTAATATGGCTCAACATAAAATGTTTAGTTTACATGTGTAATTTCCTAAACACTTTAATTTGTTTATATGTATACTTTTTGTTATTAACAGCCTATTTTTTTTTATCTATCTAGTACCTAGAGATACAGTATTGAAGTCAGTTGCTGGAACTGAGGGCATCTGGTTTGCTTTTGGCTGCCACCCAAAGAGTGCCACAGGTTTCACAGACAGCCACCTCAAAGGCTTGAAGAAAGTTTTGAAGCGCCCAAAAGTTGTGGCCCTTGGTGAGATTGGCCTGGATTACTCTGGAACATTCCACAGACATGCAGACGTCCAGAAACGTGTCCTTAGAGTCCAGCTGCAGTTGGCGCTAGATCTGGACCTGCCATTGGTCATTCACTGTCGTGATGCTGATGATGACTGCCTGGAGATAATGCAGGAGGTAATGTTTGGTTTATGTTTGATTCACAGGGTTAGGGTTAGATGATCTATGTAAACATTTGTTCAGTAGATAGTTGTATTATGGTTGTTATACAGGGTTAAGGTTAGGTTTAATTTATTTATGTAAACATTTGTTCAGTAGATAGTTGTATTATGGTTGTTATACAGGGTTAAGGTTAGGTTTAGTTTATCTATGTAAACATTTGTTCATTAGAATATTTAGATAGTTGTATTACGGTTGTTATATGGGTTATGGTTAGGTTTAGCTTATCTATGTAAACATTTGTTCATTAGAATATTTAGATAGTTGTAATACGGTTGTTACATGGGTTATGGTTAGGTTTAGTTTATCTATGTAAATGTTGTTAGCTGTAGTGAGACAGATTTAAAATAAATAAAATGGTTTTGTTTAAATCTAGAAGTTAATGTAAACTATGGCTCATTAGTCTTAATGATGTTAAACGGACTCTAGACAATTAGGCTATATAGCTTTTTGATAAAAATAGGGTTGGCAACTCTATGCTGACAGATTTTTGTATCGTCTTTCCCTTTTTTTTTCATTTTTAACGATAATGTTCAACAGGATTTCCTTTCCCACACACTTAAGTATTACATGTCAACATGTATAACGCCATATGGCCAGTTGACTCCAATTTCAGCCTGCTTTTCTCTCTGGCTTTCTGGATCTGCTTCCATAGCCTTTGTGCATCCAGGAACAAACTACAAGGCAGCAGTTGTTTGATTTTGGAGTTGTCTCTCCCATATGGGTTGCTGTTCCAAGCTAGTGAGCCTCATTGAACTTGAGACTTGGAGTTAGCAATCATTTGCTCTCCTCCTGACCATGCCATCCCCATAGCTTTTATAATCTATATATTTCTTGACTTGTAAACAAATTAATGTACTTAGACCAGAATGTGCAAAGTAAATATATTCTACACTGTTCATTATCTCCAGATGGTACCACAACATCCACCTATTATATTCTACTCTGTCCATTATCTCCAGATGGTACCACAAGACCACAACATCCACCTATTATATTCTACTCTGTCCATTATCTCCAGATGGTACCACAAAATCCACCTATTATATTCTACACTGTTCATTATCTCCAGATGGTACCACAACATCCACCTATTATATTCTACACTGTTCATTATCTCCAGATGGTACCACAACATCCACCTATTATATTCTACACTGTTCATTATCTCCAGATGGTACCACAAGACCACAACATCCACCTATTATATTCTACACTGTTCATTATCTCCAGATGGTACCACAACATCTACCTATTATATTCTACTCTGTTCATTATCTCCAGATGGTACCACAACATCCACCTATTATATTCTACACTGTTCATTATCTCCAGATGGTACCACAACATCCACCTATTATATTCTACACTGTTCATTATCTCCAGATGGTACCACAAGACCACAACATCCACCTATTATATTCTACACTGTTCATTATCTCCAGATGGTACCACAACATCCACCTATTATATTCTACACTGTTCATTATCTCCAGATGGTACCACAACATCCACCTATTATATTCTACTCTGTCCATTATCTCCAGATGGTACCACAAGACCACAACATCCACCTATTATATTCTACACTGTTCATTATCTCCAGATGGTACCACAACATCTACCTATTATATTCTACACTGTTCATTATCTCCTGATGGTCCCACAACATCTACCTATTCTACACTGTTCATTATCTTCAGATGGTACCACAACATCCACCTATTCTACACTGTTCATTATCTCCAGATGGTACCACAAGACCACAGCATCCACCTCCATTGTTTCACCAGAGATGAGAAAACAGCCAGGCGCTGGCTGACCTCATTCACCAACCTGTACATTGGTCTGACCCCTGTCATCACCTACCAGTCAGCTGTAGAGCCCATGACGGTCGCTGCCAGAATTCCACTCAATCGTCTGCTACTGGAGACAGATGCGCCTTACTTTGTACCTGGGGAGATTAGGGTAAAAAAAAATCTCTGTCTCTGTTTTTAAGTTTTTGCTTCATTTCAAACAAAGTTGTCTTGTTATAAGTCATTTATTAAGTAATTGCCATGAAGATTCATATTTTCTCTAAGGCAATATTTAAGTGTAAGTCTTAAGCTTTTTATTTACATTTCCTATAAATATGGAGGTATTTTAACTTTGGACTTAGTAACACCTTCATACTGTAAAATGTTAAGCTAACTTAGTGTGTAAAATCTAGGAAAAATTTCAATGATAGATAGCTTGAATGTTATATTGTTTTGTAAGTCAGAAAGCCCTATTAATAAAAATAAATGTTACCTTGTTCGTTTAAAATTTTCAAGTGCTAGTTTAATATATACTAATTTTAATTCATAAAATTTGTATTGCAACTAATCAAGTCTATTTCTACTATGTTACATAATGGTGTTTTTAAGAAAAAAAATTATATGAACTGAATCAAATGTGTAAAATGTGTCTAATCAATTTGAAAAAGAAATAAATAGTAAAAGATCAGACTATCATTTCTGGTATTGACTTGAAACCTTTTCATATCACACAGAGCAAGTTAAAAGTCTCCCACCCTGGTCTAGCCTTATACACAGCCGAACGTATCGCAGAACTCCGTAATGTGCATGTTGACACAGTACTTAAAGCCTGCAGACAGAATACACGTCTTGTGTACGGGATATGAAGATTGTACAGATAAATCAACTTCAGTTCAAGTATTATTACAACACTATCTTGTAAATAATAAATTTGTTGTTTTTGGATGTATGGTTTTTTTATGTAGTTTTATTCAGTGCGGCTCATCAGTTTCAATTCAAATTTGTTAATGAATACTGAAAAGTTCCATCTTAACGGTGCTATGTTTAGTCACAAATAAGTGCCTTTATATTTAGTTCCAATTAAACATCTTTTATTGCTTTGTAGCATTATGAAATGTTTTTTTTTTTTCAAACTTCCTGTTAAAGTTGTTCAGTTCTTGGTTGAAATATTGTTTGAACACAATACTTATTTGAGGTATTAACATTGAATTTTTCACCCTTATCTTACATACATTGCGAGTAGCCTAGGCAAAATCTTATTTTTAAAACAAAGTAGTAAAATCACAATGGATGCACCCTCAATGTGGAATCCCAAATGCGAGTACCAGGGAAAAGATCCTGTGTTGCCCATGTGTCAGGATCTCTGCCTTTGCTGGTACAGTCTAAAGGAATGCTAAGCCATAGGTTTGGTACCAACTTAGGTTGCCGGAGCCGCTGAAAAAAGAATCCAGTGTTGGTACTACAGCTCCACTCCTGTTTGATTTAGGAGTTTCCTCTTTTAGATGAGTTCAACAATTGCATATCCATTCTTCTGTCTATGTCTATGAGATTAACTATAAAGAAACAGATATGCATGGACATTTCAGAGTTAACATTTCTTCCCACATAATCTTCAAATAATAAAGCTGATAAAACCTGCATAGTTAACTAAACAACCAAGTGCTACATATTATACGTATCATATTAAAAAAGAATGACAAATATATAATAGCCTACACATTTGATGGCCAAGGGTTTTTTTTTGTAAATTGAAAACAACTGATTTTATGTTTTTTTATTTATCATATAATACAACAGTTGTGATCAATATTTAAATTAAGTAAAATAATCATGTTTTCATCTAGACTAGAATCTAATTTACAATAATAATTATTGTTTGATATTTTTAAAGTGCCAAACAAATTCTTGTACAAATTTTAAAACTGTTAGATACATTTTCTGATGTGCCTAAAAAGTGCTACAATTGTCAGCTGTATAATTGAGTGTAGAACTTGTCTTGTTGTGAACTTAGCTATCATGAGCAAGTACTACCACAAATGCAGCACCACTGGCTCCAAACGAAATGCTCAAAGTCCAGGAAAGTTCAATGCATGGTTTCATGCTTACAGAACAGTGTATGAACAGTGTATGACATTAGCCATCTTAAATCAAGTGGTAGTATGTAGCACTAGTCTGATGTAGAGGTGTGGGCCCGCACACAAGGGGGTACAGGACTGAAGTATCTGATGGAGATTTAATGCATGGATTTGAGATACAAACCAATGTGACTTGAACCATCTTGTATGCAGTAGCAGCATGGAGTAGAAAACTGCTGTAGAGATTAGTGTCCACACACATTGAAGTCAGGACTGAAGTACCTGACAGCATGGAGTAGAAAGCTGATGTAGAGATGTAGGCCCGCACACATTGAGGTCAGAAGAATGTGATGGAGATTTTGATTCCAGGCTGCTGTAGAGATGTAGGCCCACACACATTAAGGTACAGGAGTGAAGTACCTGATGGAGATCTAATGCATGATTTGAGATACAAACCAATGTGACTTCAACCATCTTGGATCCATTGTCAGTATAGAGCCGCAGGCTTCTGTAGAGATAAGGGCCCACAGAAATTGAGGTCAGGACTATGTGATGGAGATTCAATGAAGGGCTTGATGTACACAAACCTGTGTGACATTATCAATTTTGGTTCCAGGCTGCTGTAATGTGGGCCTACACAAAGTAAAGTACAGGAGATTCATTCTATGCATATTTTGATAGACAAAAAACAGTGGGACATCATCCATTTTGGTTCCAAGTTGTTGTAGAGTTGTGGGCCCACACACAGTCAGGTACAGGAGTGAAGTATGTAATGGAGATTTAAAATTAATGCTTTTTGATACACAAACAATTGGATTACTTCAACCTCCTTAGTTCGAGTGGAGCCTGCTGTAGAGATATGGGTCCACACACATTGAGGTACAGGAGGGAAGTACCTTATGGAGATCTAATGCATGATTTGATACACACGAACCTGTGCTTTACATCACCCATCTAAGATCCAGTGACAGTATGGAGCCGCAGTCTACTGTACAGATGTGGGTCCACACACATTGAGGTACAGGAGATTTAAAATTAACGCATGTATTGATACACACAAACCAGTGTATTACTTAAACCTACTTGGGTCAAGTGGAAGCATGGTACCGAAAGCTGATGTAGAGATGTGGGTCCACACACATTGAGGTACAGGAGATTGATTGTAATTATGCTTGGTTTGGTGCACACAAAGCAGTGTGTAATGTCGATTGTAGGAAAAAAAGTCACAGGAAAAAAAAACACAGGAAAAAAAAACACAGAAAAAAAGTCACAGGAAAAAAAGTCACAGGAAAAAAAGTCACAAATATATATTTGCATGATACTTGTTAATACTTTTATGTATTAAATATTCAGAGAGTGCTAATTAACTTAGGATTAATTAAATGTAATGTAATGTGTGTAGGCTGTATACGCATAGGAATTTTTATAATTCATCTAAAAATATTTAGTATGAAGTATGTAGATTGTAATTATTTTAAACTTAAGATTAGTAGCGTTTAATAGAATGCTCCAAAGTCCACGGTTTTAATCCTGTTTTTTTTTTAAATACCAACATTAAATTACCGTGAAATGGTAAGTTCGTCTGACTTGCTGCCCTCAACTCATGGCCACAATAGTTATGTTTAGATGTTTAGTTCAACCACCTTTACTTCCCACATTTATCACGCTCATTACATAACAAAACTTCGGATCAAAACAGAAAGCCGACAAGGTTCAAAGGCTGTCATTGACGCATGACGTCAACAACACAAAATATGTTCGGACAATGCCTACTGAGGAGAGGCCGACCAGAGAATAGCCTACGGCGAAATGTGCCTAAATTTTTTTATAGTTAAATTTTCTACCGCGTTTTTAACTAAATACGTAACAAAAGTTGAGATTGTTGTGTAAATTATATTAGAGTATTTTTACTTACAATTGTTATAAACCATAATGCTTTTAACGTCTATAAATAATTTATGCTATAAAAATATACAACCCACAACAAGAAACATACAAAATTTTACAATTCTAAACAAATAAAAAAAATTATTTCTAAAAATATTTTTGTGACTTTTTTTCTGTGACTTTATTTCTGTGACTTTTTTTCCAAAAAATTTTTTCCACTGTGACTTTTTTTCTGTGACTTTTTTTCCTAGCAAAAACTGTGACTTTTTTTCTGTGTTTTTTTTTCCTGTGACTTTTTTTCCGTTTACCGTAATGTCAACCATCTTGGATCTAATGACCGTATGAAGTAGACAAATTGCTGTAGCGATGTGAGTACACAGATATTGAGGTAGATGTGTATCTGATGGAGATTTAATGCATGATTTGATGTACACAAATCAGTGTGTGGCATGAAGTAGAAAACTGCTGTAGAGTTGTGGGTCCACACAGTGGCGTAGCGAGGTCGGGTGTCACCCGGTGCGGCACTTAATGGTGTCACCCCCCCCCCAGAGGCATAGAGACCCTTCCCAGGGACAAACTTTCAAATTTTCGACTTGCACCCCCCCCCCCTCAAACTTTCGATTTGCACCCCCCTCAAGTTTTCGATTTGCACCCCCCCCCTCAAGTTTTCGATTTGCACCCCCCCTCGAGTTTTTCTCTATATATTTTGCTATTTTTTGCCTTGGTGTCACCCCCCTAAATGGTGTCACCCGGTGCGGTCCGCACCCCCCGCCCCCCCCCCTCGCTACGCCCCTGGGTCCACACACATTGAAGTCAGGACTGAAATACCTGACAGCATGGAGTAGAAAACTGCTGTAGAGATGAAGGCCTGCTCCGTGGATAAACACGTTGTGGTAGTGCATGAGTACAGTGGCGTAGCGCTGTCGGGTGTCACACGGTGCGGCACTTAATGGTGTCACCCCACAACAGAGTTGTAGCGACCCTTCCCGGGGACAAACTTTCAAATTTTCGATTTGCACCCCCCCCCCCTCAAATTTTTCTCTGTATATTTTGCTATTTTTTTGCTTTGGTATCACCCCCCCCCTAAATGGTGTCACCCAGTGCGGTCCGCACACCCCCCCTCGCTACGCCTCTGCACGAGTATAGTATCTGATGGAGATACCAGCACCATCAAGGCTACACATCAGCTGGGCCCTATATCAGGACCCCACTGTGGAGAAACGTGAGTGTGTGAACCATGTGGCCAAAAGGCAGGCCACTGCACTGAGGAATGTGGTGGATGCCAAGAAAAAGGAGAAATTAAAACTCTTTGACGAAATAGAAAAAATAATATTTTATATAGGCCAGTAGCGTAGCAGGGGGGGGGAACATATGTCCCCGGGCGCCGACCTTAGGGCGCCAAAATGGGTTGGAAAAATAAATTGAAAGGTTGAGGGGGGTGCAAATCGAAAGTTTGAGGGGGGGGG